TTTTCATATCCGGTGTAAAGTAATTACCTACCTATCTATCTATTGATTTCTCTTCCGGCCATGCCTGGTTCGGAGGAAGGAAACAAAGGAGGGAGAAAAAGCAATTGAGAGATCGTACTACTCCCGAGTTGTTGTACAATATTCTGAGGGTCATAGTTCGTTCACTCTTTCTCTTTATTGTCTGGCGCAGGGGCTGATTCCGATTCCGGTTTCAGTTCCGGTTGTATACAATCAATCGATCGGACTTATCCCGTTTGTTGTGTTGTCAAGTCATCAAATTAGTTTCAGATCTATGTATGTTATAACTGCCAGTAAGAAATCGTGGAACTCTGCCTTTTTGTTGCATCATTCACTCAGACATTAAGGTCTTCAAAAGGATGAAAAAAGTTCTGTCGCCGTGTGCTGTGTGCCAAAACCTTCCATCCATCCATCCATCAGGATTAAACAATGGGGAAAAAAGAGGGAAATCAAAAGAAGAGCAAAATGACACCGTCACGATATCAGGAAACGCCGGGTGGTGGAAAGAGTAAAAAAGAGATATTAAGTATACAAACATTAGGAATCTCGTCCGTAGTAATAATACAGGCCGTGTGTTACCCGGAAGTCCGGGGACTGTTGATAGTGCACACGCATGAAGAGAAGGATCAACTCCGAGTCAAGAAAGAGGGAAAGAAGGTATAAAGAAAGAGCAAATGTGGATGAGAAAAGCGTAATGAGGCGGCGGATGTCGTTAAAGGAGAATGGACACCGATGGTCCTCTAGGGTGCAGTATACATCATCGTTGGGCATCGGGGACAGGGCGGTCATGAGCGTCTTCTCGATGTGAAGGCGTCTCCGTCACAGGTTCGACGGTCTTCTCCGCCGAGTCGGCCTGGGCGGGACTCGATGCCTGCGTCTCCGCCTTTCCATCCTGCACGGTCGCTGTCTCGGTGTGGATCGGAGACTCGGGGGCCATGGAAATGAAGGAGTCCTCATAGATGGACTCGTGGTCGCTATCGTCGTTGGTCTCGGACCGGTCATCACGACGATCGGGGGTCTCGGTCGGTGGTGGAGTACCCTCGCGACCGTTGCCTGTCACGTCACGCGGAGATATCTCCCGGTCGTCCTCGACGTCTGTCTCGGGCAACGGATCGAGGCTGTCGGGGGGAGATGCGTAACTGATCGGCGCGGTAAAGATGGGGATGATGCCCCCGCCGATGCGAGACCAGAACATGCGCTCCCGCAATCGGATGGTCTCTTCCCAGGCATATTTCTCCTCGCCCACGTCTGCGAGGCGGAGGTGTCCATCGAGGATCAGGCGGAGATAGCCGGTGAACTCACATGAGGAACGTGCCCTCTCGACGCAAAGCACGCAGAGGGGATATCGTTGCGCTGTCTCGCTATCGGATGTTCGGAAACGATGCGTCCGTTCATTGGCGGTTCCAGGGCGGCGCTCCCCGCAGAGGGAGCACGGAAATTCGTACTTCTTGGAGGCAAGGGGCATGGGCTCCACCACCAGGGTTCCATCGCAGATGCCACTCATCACCGAGCGACGGGTCAACCAGGAGATGCCCGGAGCCGCATCCAAGCGGAGCGTGGGCTCGATGTCTTCGACCAGCGCCCGCTTGTAGAAGCGCGTATCCTTCAACGGGATGGACGAGCCCGAGGGCTGCGGGGACGACAGGCTACCGTGCGGCGAGTGCATTTGGGATTTCGCGGGCGACGACGCCGCCGATCCGAAAGCGCTGCTGCCAAAACCGGCCAGACTCATGACATTCAAGCCGGCGTACGACCCGCTGGGCGCGCGACTGGCGGGTTTGGAAGCCGTGCTCGACAGGGTGAACAACTCCCGGAAGTCCTCGAAAGCCTGCAGGTCCGTCCGGCTCACAGTCCGGATCAGATGCGGGAAGCTGGTGCAGGGGCCTGGGAGTAGCTCCTCGACCGGTGGCGGCGACTCTTGGGGACACATGGGGGGTTCGATGGAGTTGGCAACGGCAGACGGCTCGCGCGATGCAGTGGGGGACGACGGGGCGGTCGATGCCGTGGTCCGGACTTCGAGTTCGTCCTTGCTGTTGAGCGTGACACCTTGCAGCACCGACTTCAGCTCCGCCAGTTGGTCCTGCTGGGAGGCCAACAGCGATTCCGTGTCCTTGATCTGGGCGCGCAGCTGTTCATTCTTCTTCTCTACCGCCTCGCGCTCGAGCTTGGCGGCCGCAACCATCTGTGGGAGTAGTCTATTAGCTTCCCGAACGGGATCCGAACATTGGAGTCGCAACCACCACGGCTTACCTTGTTAGCTTCTTCAAACAGGGCCGCCGTCAGCGTTTCGAGTTCTTGTTCGATCCCCTTCTTCTCCTTTTCGATGAGGGCACGCTGGGCCTTTTCGTCGGCGAGGGCGGCCTTGAGGCGCAGCATGTCGTATTCGACATCGGATTTCTTGATGAGGACTTCCATGTCGATGTCTCGGCGATATCGGAGATTCTCCTGCTCGAGGACGGTCACCCTCGAGCGAGCTTGCTCCAAGTCCTGGCGGGCGACGGCCAGATTATCGTCCAGGATGGTCTGGTTGTTGATCGCCTGGACCAATTTGACGCTCAAGGCAGCGACTTCATTACTCAATGCGGGATGATGAGTATTATCGGGGGAAGATGCCTCGGAGGAGTCGGAACTGTTGTTGATGAGCCGAGGGTCCTGGAGGGTGCTGAAACCGCCGTCGGCGAAGTTCCCGACGCTCGAGGACCGATTGCCGGATCCGGGACGGTCGGTTGCGATCCCAAATAGATCACTGACCGAGCGGGCTTTCGTCAAGGTGCGATCGGGGGAGAGGGATCGATTTTCAGAGGAGATGGAGCGTCGATGGGTGGTCGGGCGCGAGAGCATGGTGGAGGGAGAGAGGAAAGAATGGCGGGTATGGTAGGTATGAAAGGCAAGTAAGCTGTCACTGTTAGTTCCTGAGACCTTGTGGAATGGGATAAGGAAGGGAGGAATGGAACGGCGCAAAAACATACTCCGCCATGATGGTGATTGTGATGGCAAGTCAACGGGAGAATCAATCCGAGGGAGGGGGTGAGTATAGTAGGATAGACGACAGTTGGGGATCGTCTTATCACGAGAGAAGCACAGTCCTTGGGGAAGACAAAAGAATGTATGTTGTCACGTCGAAAAATCCAGCAAAGTGGACGCAGGGGATCACGCAAATGCAACGTCCCACCAGCGCACAGCTTGGGGAGAAGTGCTAGCCTGTAAGGAAATGAGGCATGGAGGACGCAGGCTGGATTGATAGGGCGATTGGGTGACGATCAAGGGGGAAGATATCTGCCAAGAGAGTGGAAGAGAAAAAGACAGAGGGTCAAGAAGACAGGCTGAAATGGAATAGAGATGAGAAAGAGGACGATGGGAAAGGAAGAAGAGAGAAGTCGAGAAGAAGTAGAGAAGAGAAGTGAAGTGAAGCCCCTCTTGGGATGAGGTTCGAAAGAGCGGATGAGGCAGGAGAAAGACCAGCCGGTCACTGACCTGGGTTGCAGCCTGGAGAACCAGGCGAGATTGCCTAATCCGGCTAGCCCAGGCACGGGCTCCGCTCTTGATTGGTGGCGGAGTCCTTAGTCAGGTACGTGACTGTATTCTTACATATGATTACCGTACCTTTCCTACTGGAACAGCTCAAGCTCATACAAACCAATACCGGATGAGGCAAATTGTCAATTTTTCTTGTCTGAGTTGCCTTCAATTATACATCATTCTTTGCTCTGGCTTGGATCCGTGGGTCTTTCCCTTGGGTCCAGGATATGGGTTGAAACAAGGACTATAGCTAGTTGGCTACTACTCTCCAATTGGAGCCACGTTCCTTCCAGCGCATTCAACTCTCTGGGTTTCTCCTCGGACTCACAGACTGGTCGGTCGATCGAGATTCTCCATCCAGTCTGTCGGGTTCAACTGCATCTCGGTAAAGTGATATACAAAATTACAAAAAAAGACAGGAAGACAGGAAGAAAGAGACAGAAGACGCGGTGGCCATCGCATAACATCATTGATCATCCTCCTTTCGTGCGACGATCGCAACGCACCGTCCCCATCGAAGTGGGTGCGGTTGAGAGGTCCTTGGCGACCCGATGACGACACTCGCCGCGTACAAGGGAATTGTCTCGTCCAAGGAAACTAGAAAACCAGAAAACTCTGAGGACCGGTGAAATCGCTGTGCTTTCCCAGATCTCAACCCATGGGATCTATCTATAACCACACTCACGGTACATTTGCGGTGTGGCGTCAAACAACCCATCCGGGCGGCAAGAACAGATCAACTTGCATGCATGGACAGGTCTCACAACGGATCCGACGGCGGACAAGGTGGTCTCGTACGGGACTAGTAATATCGGGGTATCACATCGTCGCCCCTATCTAGTCCGATGCGCTATTGTCTACTAAAAAAAGGAAATTTCCTCATGGCGACCCACCCCCGTCACAGCCTCGGCGCCTCAAGCGATGTGTGGGGTATTTGCGGTCTCAGATACGACGGTGTCCGGAGTCCTACTCCGTCCTCTAGTAACTAGATTATTCGCCTCTATTCATGTCAGTGGTGAGTGGTCACTGGCCACTGGTCACTGGCACGATCAGCTGAATAGTGGGAAATACCCCAGATGATGCACGGTCCAATGGACATATTGAACTTCCCCTCAGTACGGGACTAATATCAACTCGCTCAGTGGTTGACCCCGCATCGGGCTCATATCCACGAGACATCAGATGGAATGTCGATCATGAAAGGCCCGCCGGCGCAGGGTAGCTGACCTCGGTGATCGTCTCCCTGGCGAAACAAGGAGGTTGGGGCCCCGATTAAAGGAATGCACTATCATCTACCTGAAATCGGTCAATCCCTGAAACCAGAAGTGATCAGATCATGGTCTCAGATTCCATGTCTTCGTCCACTATCCAGTTTCGAGTAAATGTTACTGTCTGAGTTCGGTTTCCCGTACGTACGTAGTCCCTGCACAATGAGTGGACCGGTCACCCACCGTCGTTGACCGCCCCACTCACCGCCCACATGTGCCCTCCAAAAAAAATCGACCTTATCGGGTCCTTTCCAGCATTCAGATCAATCCTCGCGTTTCCAACCATAGCCAGTAACGTCGACAATGGAGACAGCCGATCTTCTTCCCCTGCTGGAGCAGCTGGATGACAATATTGACGATCTCGAGGAATCCCTGCAGCCCATCTTGAACGGCTCCGTTCTGGAGGCATCCAAGAACTTGCCGGTGCTGGACAAGGCCAAATTCCATGTCCTGGTGACTTACGCGCTGGAGTCGCTCATTTTCTGTATGTCTCTCCCTATCACTTCCTTTTAATGTCTACATGCGATACTGACTGGACAGCCTACCTGCGTCTCCATGGCGTCAATGCCAAGGACCACCCCGTCTTCCGGGAACTGACCCGCGTCAAGCAGTACTTTGAGAAGATCAAGTCGCTGGAGACGGAGCCCGAACAGCGAACCATGCGACTCGACAAGGAAGCGGCTGGTCGGTTTATCAAGCACGGACTGGTATTGCCCCCTTCACCAACACAAGATTTTCGCAATAATACTAACAGGCACAGGCCGGTAACGAGAAACTAGACATGGCGCGCAAGGAACAGGAAGCCAAAGAACGGGCGCGCGCTCAACTAAAGGCAAAACTGCTCGCGAAGAAGATGGCTACGACGTCGGACAACTCACCCAGCAACCCAGCCGGGGACTCCGATGAGGACTCGGATGAGGCGTCTGCTCCGGACGATGTGTCCGCCCCCTCGGGCGACTCGAAGAGCGAGAAAAAGAAGACGACAAAGGAGGGGAAAGGAAAAGAGGAAAGCGACGGTGACAAGCCGTCCAAGTCGAAGCGCAAAAACGGCACCAAAGAGGAGCAAACTCAGAAGAAAAAGGACCGACGGAAGAGGAAGAGCGATAAGCGCAAGGCAGCACGCAAGGAGAAATAAGTTGTTGGCTTCTGGGACTGCGACTTTCGGGTCCAACTATCCGACACATGCTGTTTATCGGCTGCGCCGATTCGACGGTCTTCTTGCCGAGAGCGTGCCAGCGTCTAGAATCGTCCTCCTCCGATGGCGACTGGTTCGATGCACGCGACATGACCACACTAACCTATAATACCCATTCTCACCATCCTCCGCCAGCGCTGGTCTGGGTTTCGGACGAGGATGATGTCCGGATACGGGCTAACAGCACTCTAACCCTGAGAGAAGGGTGGCAGGCACTCATAGCAGATCAAGTGATACACCTCTTATACCGACGACATAGCCATACACTAGTAACTAGCTCTCGAAACTCATACTGAACTGATACTCGATCCCTACCTACTTGAAGTATGTAACACACGCAGCATGTAATGTAGATACATAAAATACACAATACAATACCATATTCCATCCAAATTTCACACGAAAATGATCGGAGCGCGTAATCCCCGGTAACGCCCCTATCCACCAATCAGCAAGCCCGAATACCACACCCGGGCGGAGTTTTCGACGATTCTCCGGCCTTCCATTCCGCCTTAACAATAATCATTCTCGCCTCCAGGCTTCATCTTCTTCCTCCATCTCCCATCCACCTGCTTCACTGTTAACCTCACCACCACTTTTCTCTCAAACAACCAACCAACCAACCAACCCATAATCATCATCATGCCTCGTCAACGCCGTGGTGCCGCCCCCACCCCCGCGCGCAGCGCTCCCACCCGCCCGACTGTCGCTCCCGCCGCCAGACCGGCCCCAGCCCAGCAGCACTCCCAGCCTCACTCCACCGCCGCCCACCCCCAGCAGCAGTCTCACCAGGCTCCTCCTCCCCAGGCCGCGGCGCCTCCTGTTCAGCAGAGCCAGGGACCCGGTCTGTTCGGTCAGATGGCTTCCACCGCTGCGTATGTCTCCATCTCCCAACTTCCCTAGCCGACACCCTATCAACCCATCATAGTAAGAAAAGGAAAGAAACTAACAAAAATATAGTGGTGTCGCAGTCGGCTCCTCCATCGGCCACGCCATCGGCGGCTTCTTCGGCGGCGGCGGCTCCAGCGCGCCCGCTGAACCCCAGCAAGCGGCCGAGGCCCCCGCCCAGGCGCAACCCATGGACAGCTCGCTGTGGCAGAGCAACGCGGCCAACAGCTCGTGGGAGGCGCCTCCTTGCGAGGGCGACGTGCGCAACTTCCGGAAGTGCATGGATGATAACCGCGGTGATATGACTATCTGCGGGTGGTATTTGGATCAATTGGTTTGTCCTCTTTCTTCCACCTGTTGTTGTTTTTTTTACTCTGCACTTAAAGTGTGGTTGGTTCTAAGTGAGATGATGGCTAATATTTTTCTTTTCAACTGTATAGAAAGCTTGCCAGTCTGCGGCTAAGCCGTATTAATGGCTCGACCACTATTACTCTATCTAATAGACTACTACATGTTAGACAACACATGTTAACATGACAAGTGTGGTTGATTATTTGTTTGCATAATGGCGTAATCGTTCTGACTGCTATTGATCTTGTACTTGTTGAGAGAAGTGACTCTTGTATATCCTACCATCTCGACTCTTCGTTTCAGAACCAAGACTATCCCCTCTATTACTTTCTCCATTTGGGCCGACTACTGTGTTTCCGTACTCAAGCGCCGTAAGAATCAAATCACGAAAATGATCATTCAATATTCTAATACAAATACTGCTATATACAAATGGATATCCCAAATTCACACATTCACATCATCATCCCCCAATATCTATCTCCTTTTTATAACCTCGACGGATCTCCCTTGCCCCCCGCACAACAAGCCGTCGAAAACGCATTCCTCGACTGCGAATCCACACAGATCGCCGAAGGCGGCACCCACAGCGCCGGATTCTTCAAGTAAAAGTTCGACGCCCGCAGCATAATACTCACCGGCTCAGCCGGCATAACGGGGAAGTCCTCGGCGCGCGGGAAATGCGTCAGCCCGAACTGCAGATAGCAGACGATGTCGGTGTTCTCGATGCTCTCGTCGCGGCCCGCCCAGTCGAGGATGCCCTTGTTGTGCGGGTGGTTCGTCTCGCCGGTCGACTGGCAGACGTAGTCGCCTGCGGGGAAGAGCTCGTAGTCCCTGTAGGGCACGACCCAGAGGGAGTGGCGCGCGAAGGCGGCGCGGTTGGAGACTGTGCTGCCGGGTTGGGCGAGGAGCGGCGGGCAGCTGTTGTTGACGATTTTGTAGCCGACGGGTTTCTTGGCTGTGGGGTGGTGCCGGTTGGGGTTGATGATTTCCCAGCCGCGCTGGGTCTCGTGGTTGTAGTCTGTGGCGCCTTCGAGGGCAGTGCGGAGGGGCTTCTTGCGGGCCAGGAAGCCGTTGCCGTAGGGGTTCTCGGGGGAGCCGACGGGGGCGGGGGAGGGGACGGCGTCGGATTCGACGACGGTGTTGTTGCGCCCGTCGATCTCGGGGTCGATGCGCAGGGAGAAGATGTGTTGGTGGTTGTGGGCTGTTACGCGGGGCGCGACTTCTGTGCCGTAGGGGGCGGCTTCTTCGGATGGGTGCAGGCAGTAGGTGTTGAGCATGCCTGTGAGTTTGACTTCGAGCTTGTAGGTGCCGTCGAGGGTGAAGGTGTGGTAGAAGCCGTATTCGTAGTTGGCGGCGGTGATGATCTGCGAGACGATGAGCTTGCGGTCGCGCGCGGAGATGACCGTGCCGTCGCGGAAGTCGGTGTGCTTGTAGAGGAGGCCATTGTCTTCCTCGTGGATGCAGATGGCGTTCTTGACGACGGCCGCTTCGCCGGAGGAGGTCGCCATCACGCCGTCCATGTAGTGGATGACGCCCTTGCAGTCGCATCCCAGCTTCAGCGAGTTGGTCATGAGCCCCGTGCCGTACTCGCCGACGTCGAAGGCGTGCTTCTTGTGGTGCGGCTTCTCAGGGCAGCCGTAGGGGACGACCATCTCGACGACGCTGATGCGGTTGAAGAGCGTGCGCTCGCGGTCCTCGTAGGGGTCGTGCGCGCGCACGTCCGAGATGACGATGCCCTCGCGGTAGTTGAAGCCGATGTGCATCTTGTACCCGGCCCAGGAGAGCTCGTTGCCCTTGACGCGGAAGGAGACGCCCTGGGGCTGCGTGATGTCGATGGGTTTTAACCGGTCGTGCTTGTACTGGTCGCCAATGAACTGGGGGAGGTAGTTGTGCTCTGCGAGGGCCGGGGCCGTGCGCTCGCCGTTGACGTAGCGGACGTCCACGGCGAGGACCTCCTCCGTCTCCGTGTCGACCACGACGGAGAAGTCCAGCGGGTGCGCGTACTGGTTGTCGAACTCAGAGGCGCGGTAGTACGCCAGCCCCTGCTGCAGGCGGCGCTCGAAGCCCCAGCGCTCGTCCACGCCGATGGCCCAGGCGTCCAGGAAGATCTTGGACATGTCGGTGATGCCGATCTCCTTGCAGGCGCGCACCACGCGAGGGTCGTCCCGGGCCACGCGCTCCATGACATCGAGATCCTCCAGAGTCAGGGTTGGCGCGACGTCCTTGACGTTCTTCCACTGCTCGACCTTCTCGGTGGTCAAGTTGGCCACCACCTCGGACACCTGCTGGGTCTCCCTCTCGATGACAATGGCGAAGGCACAACGATCGGGACGCGGGGCCAGGCCCTGACGGAAGGCGTGGTATTCATTCTTCTTGGGCTCGAGGAGGGTAATGCAGTTGAACTTGAGTGTCTTCGGGCTGGCATATTCGCGCATGAGCTGGGCCGCGGCCGGGATCTCCTTGATGGACAGCTGGTCTGGAAAGGGGTCAGTAAGTGGCACTATGAAATCTCTAACTCTATCCCAAACTCACCAAGCGGATGAGGAACGCCTCTGGGCATCATAGAAACGGCAGCAACAGAGTCATAATCATCGTCACGGAATATCGTATACCCCGCAATCGAGGTTGTATCTGGAGCATTGGCCATGGTGTAGAGAATCAAACGACAGAAGTCGAACAGTATTTAGATGCAGAAACCTTGGTCTGAGAAAGAACCCCATCTGAATCCCCGACTACACGGTCTCTTTATAATCGGACTCCATCGAAGCCATATCATTGTTGTCCGCATAGACCTGCCTAATCGGGAAACCAGATTTATATCGTTCCATCTCCATCGCTGAACGGGTTATCAGGGTTATCACGAGCGCCACCACGACTGCTGATCGGCACGGAGCCTCTCTCGAGACTAAATGTCACCTCAAATCATTCTAGACTTTGTCCCACGTTGGACAGAGCTTACTCGTCCTTGGCTGGCTTCGCCTTCCCCCCATGGCCCCGATGATGCCATTACTAAACATCCATCGAGGATCGGCTTCAAACACGTGTGGCCGGGGGTAACCCAGCGGATCTTCCTCAGTAGAGAGGCCCATACAACCTTTGAACAACATCTATGCCTCTATCTTGAGCAGGAGTATTGTGATCGTAGTCTAAGTCGGCCTTATCGAGCCGTCTCTTAGGGCACAGCCAAGTCAGTGACAGCGCTCGGATTGGCCAATATGGGTGGATCGACGGCTCCTCCGCATTCTTCCCCACGCTTTGCTTCTTTTTTCTTTCTTTTTTTACTTATTTTTCTTTATTCCTTTCTTGGGTTTTGTATGTATAAGATTTTGTTCGAGTACGACAGAAATTGAATGTCGCGGGTCTGTTCCATGGACTGCTCTCAAAGCAAACAGGTAGTCGGGGCATCGCGTAAGCACAAAGGGAAATGGCTTCGTAGCCACCCCAATGGTAAAACATTTGGTAATATTGATAATCGCAAGCTAGAAGAGGCAAGTCCTACAATGGATACCACCGAAGAAAGAGTTTGCAATCGAAGTGGACGTCGGGTGTACATACGACCTTGAGAAACAAGCGAGCGAGCGCATACCGACGGAATCCAATCCAGGTCCAGTCCCGCCAACGCATCTCAAACAAGCCCAGTAGTCCACAGATCACACGGACGGGATGAATATCCTACGATAACGGGGGTAGTCCTGATTTGCATTGCATTGCGTAAAAAGGCCCGCTGTCTGGCTCGTGTTGTTCGCTGTGTCCATGGCGCCGGTTGTCTGCGTGGACATGCTCTTTTCGGGAATGGCTCCACTGTAGCTTGTCTGGAAAGTGGATAAGCTTAGTAGAGCGCGTGTTGCTCCTTGATGTGGGCAATAATGCTCCTCCCCCGCACTAATAGATAGCTGCTAACTATTTGCTATGGCGATGAAGAGAAAAAAAAGTCAGCTCCCAGCCATGTGGGTCGGGCTGCGATACGCGTGAAGCTCCAATATTATCCTCTTGGGGAATGGCTCCAATATTATCCCCTTAGGGAATGTGCAGCCGAGTTTGTAGTGGCGGAGGGCATCAGCGCGATACACTCTTGACCTCATAGGGAGGGGGATAGTCGGGGATATGTTCGATGTATAACGTAGACGAGTATTATTTATCGCTGGAAGCTTCCCCTTCCCGTCTACACCCACCATCAGCAGCAGCGTCAGTGAGATATACCCATCATGACCGACCTATCTGTGCAGCTTACGGCGCCAAACGGCCGCACCTGGACTCAGCCAGTGGGCCTGTTCATCAACAACGAATGGGTCAAGTCTTCGAATTCGGAGAAAATCGTCTCGGTCAACCCTGCGTACGTCTACCGTCCCGATCTTCAGCTCCCCGAGCGAAGAAAAAGCTAACATGTTGATGTCAACTTCAGAACCGCCGCGGACATCACCTCAGTTTACGCCGCAACGGAAGAGGATGTTGACAAAGCCGTCAAGGCCGCGCGAGCAGCCCTCAATAACCCCGACTGGAGAGAGATGCCGGCCACCGAGCGCGGCCGCCTGATGACCCGTTTGAGTGACCTCATCGAAGAGAACCGCGAGATCCTGGCCACGATCGAGACGTGCGACAACGGGAAGCCATACACCGTTTCCCGGGGCGATGACCTCTCCGAGACTGCCGGAACAATCCGCTACTACGCCGGCTTCGCGGACAAGGTCTTCGGGCAGGTGATTGACACCACGCCTGAGAAGTTCGCGTATACCATTCGCGAGCCGGTGGGAGTGTGCGGGCAGATCATTCCGTAAGTCGCGAAGATACACATAGCCCATTCTCTCGCACTCCTAGTTACTGACTGGCCATGTCACTCAGCTGGAACTTCCCTCTGTCAATGGCCGCATGGAAGCTGGGCCCGGCCCTAGCCTGCGGAAACACAGTGGTTCTGAAACCCGCCGAGCAGACACCCCTCTCGATTCTATACCTGGCCAACCTGATCGTCGAAGCCGGGTTCCCCCCAGGCGTCGTGAACATCGTCAACGGCCACGGCCGCGTAGCCGGCGCGGCTCTCGCGTCGCACATGGACGTGGACAAGATCGCCTTCACGGGCAGCACAGCCACAGCCAAAGAAATCATGAAGATGGCCAGCCGCAACCTGAAGAACATCACGCTCGAAACGGGCGGCAAGAGTCCCCTGATCGTCTTCAACGACGCGGACCTCGAGCAGGCCGTCGAGTGGGCCCATATCGGCGTCATGTACAACCAAGGCCAGGTCTGCACCGCGACGTCGCGGATTCTGGTGCAAGATGGGATCTACGATAAGTTCGTCGAGGCCTTCAAGAACCAGATCAAGAACGTCTCTGTCGTCGGTGATCCCTTCGACGAGGCGACTTTCCAGGGCCCGCAGGTGAGCCAGGCTCAGTATGACCGCATCATGTCCTACGTGAACGTGGGTAAGGCCGAGAACGCGAAGCTGGAGTGCGGCGGGGAGCCTTTCGAGGGGGTCGGCAATGGCCGGGGCTTCTTCTTCAAGCCTACCGTGTTCACCAATGTGTCTGATCAGATGCGCATCTACCGCGAGGAAGTCTTTGGTCCGTTTGTGGTGATCGCTCGGTTCAGCGAGGAGGATGAGGCCATTCGCATGGCTAATGACACTACCTACGGTCTTGGAAGTGCCGTCTTCACACAGAACCTGACCCGTGCTCACCGCACTGCTAGGCGCATCGAAGCTGGTATGGTGTGGATTAACTCGAGCAACGACAGTGACTGGCGCATTCCTTTTGGAGGTGTCAAGCAAAGTGGTATTGGCCGCGAGCTGGGTGAGGCCGGTTTGGCGGCGTATTCCAACGTTAAGGCCGTGCATGTAAATATGAAGTCGAAGTTGTAAATTATCAAGAGAGTTAGGCAATATACCAGGAATTCAATCAATATATCTTTATCAAATGGTTCAAGAAAAAAATCACCGACATCGTCGATCTTTTGGGAAAGCTGGTATTCAATCAAGCTGGTTTGGCAGTTTTCATTTTATGTAGGTGGTATATTCGCTAGTTTCATCATTGAAGTAATCATAATGCGTTGTTGGTACATTCCTCATCGCCGAAATCAAAACTGGCGTCACTTAGTTCCGTCCTTTGCCGTCGTCTCCATCGCAGAATCGGTGGCATCTTCCTGAACCTCTCGGCCGTGGCTCAAAGAAAGTGACTCCTCCGTGTTCATGTAGCTACTGTTTCCCTGAATAAACCAGAATGACAGGGCAATCAGGAGCATCACGCCAAAGACAGCAATGGCGTAGTTCATATCAGAGCCCGACGGGCTGGGAGTGCTGGGGAAGAAAAAGAAAACAGTCGTAATGGCGCAGTATATAACGCTCACCCAATTCGCAGGTGCCCCTAATCTCCCCAGGTAAAACGGACCAGGGGGGAGGTGGCTGCGTCCCCTGATAAGCAAGGCCAAGATTGGCAGACCATAGGAGATGGTCAGGGCGATGGTGCTGACGCTGAGAATGGCAGTCAAGACAGTCTCGGCGAATAAGAATAGGACTCCCACGAGAGCGATCAGGACTCCTTGAAACCACAGAGCTCTGACAGGAGCCTTCCACACCGGATCTATATGGGAGAGGTATCGGTTGAATGGCAGCCCACCGTCCCGTGCAAATCCCCAAGTCAGACGAGATGCCGTGGTCAATATACTCACTCCCTGGCCGACGCCATTGAGGATGAAGAGGGCAATAAGGACAGCACCTCCCTCCAAGCCAATCGTTTCCTGGGCAAGCTCGATAAACGGTAACCCAGTCGGAGAATTGATGACTCTGTTGATATCCTGAATGCAAAAGAGGCAGACCACCATGAAGATAAAACCACTGGCGGCCCCGGAGAGTACAGCGAGATAGATAACTTTCGGCGCGTTCTGTCGTGGGGAAGGAATCTCTTCCACCATGTGGATGACTGCATCAAAGGCTGTCAGGCCATATGCAGCCTGTACTAGTCCAATAAACCAGACCACACCATCCTGCCAGCCGGTCTCATTGATCCAACTTCCAAAGGCAAAATTTGCCGGTTGGAAGGATAGACCCGATTTGGTGCCCACGGAAATCAGCAGGGCCAATGCGAACACAACGAACAAGCCCACAAACCATACCCCCACAGTGTTATTCAGCCAGGGCAGGATCTGTTCTTTCCGGCAACCAGTAACATTGATGAGGGTGAGGGCAAAGACCAAGCCAATATAAACACAAAACTCCAGCCATCCAGTCTGCGCCCCCGTCCATTCCACGTCAAACATGACCTTCATTCCCAGAATGAAGTCCGTCATAAACGCCACCTGCGAGGCGGCGAGAGTCCACCACCCAAATACATTGATCCAGGCACACATGTAGGACATGAAACGGCCCCAGCGTGTATCCCACAGCTGTGAAATCCAGTAGGCTTGTCCCAACGCGGTTGGCATGCTGCTGCAGATTTCTCCGAGAGACACAGCCACGCAGACGTTGCAAAAGGTGACCAAAGCAAGTCCCCATAGAATCGAGACCGGGCCACCATTGATCAGACCATCCGACAGATTCTGAGCGAAAGTAGACCACGTGCCTAGTACACAGAACGCCAGAGCGAACATGCTCCATATACTGAATTTGCGGGTGAGCACCTGCTCGTGGCCCATGGCCGCGAGGTCGCATGCATCTTGGTCTTCATAGGCCGTCGCCTTTTCCGTGACGATAGTCGAGTCGTTCCCAAGTTCCATCGAGAGGTGTTTTCTAACGGAATGTGGGGGCGATGCTCCGTTTTTCACTGGGAAGCGGAAGGGAAAAGCAAGGAGAAAAAATGATAGTCCACAAAGACAACGCGATAAAATAGGTTCCCGGTGAACAGCTGTGCTTTTTTTTTTGACTTGATCAGTCACCGAGGATCAAATCAAGAGCGAAGCCTTCCATTTTATTATTTATTCGAGATAGATGCGCGTGGTGCAGGATTGACGAGACACTTCGTTCAGATCCTGACGGCGTGGGCTCTGGAGAACCCCGCGTTCACCGGGATGTTAGAAGCGGGTCCAATTCGGAATTTTATGGGGACATATGAAGAAAACTGCTGGATCGGCATCGAAACCGACCGGTTAGATATGGTCAAGCAGTTTGTCACAGGTAATGCATTATTAGAGGCAGAGCCTGCGGTGCCTCGACCTTGGTACTAGTCGGAAGAGCCGTGATCCCCACCATGCCGATGGACGGAACCGCGTCTGGAAGGTGTATGCGGGAGTATCCCCAGATCTTCGGCAAAAGATCCACCAAAATACTTATTGCGTCTCCATCGGACTTGTCGGGGAGCCTGGTTTTGTGTCCCAGACCACTTGGACCCGACCCGACGCCACCGGGGTTTGGCACGGCTGTGTATCTGCATGGACTTTCCCTGTTCTTCGATGGTCCGGGATACGTACCGAGAATAGATTCAGCCAGGCACCAAGATTGATAATCAGTATGTCCGGTGGTAGCCGGAGACTTGAAAGTCTATGAAATTGAGTCTATAATGCTGAAGTAGAAGCAAACTTTGAGATGCCGGTACTGCGTCTTCCTATTCCTGGAAGGTGGGTGCGAGGTAATCCCTCAAGCAACGAGGTAAGTAGCCCCCTTGACTGTAAGATATGGAGAGATGGCTGTCGGTCTATTCCACTGTTGGTAGCTGGAGTGGAGATGGACAGTGGAGAAGGAAAGAAACCTGAAGGTGAAGAATAACCTCAGTGTTAACATCCGTAGAGTGCTGCCTGAGGCCTTCGTGGCCGACTTGATCACTTGCAAAGCTGTTTGTCCTAGTGTTGGGATGTAATATGTTACAAGTTTAACAAATTTGCGGGGAATCAATTCTTCCTATTCTCTAGATCAATTATGTAAAATCCTCCAGGGTAACTAATGATAAGAGAAATTGGTCAGAGGGAGAACCAGAACTATATATATCTGGATATGGATTTATATCCACTACAACTCAGACACACTGAAGATACAGTATGGTAGATTCGTGCTAGAATGCAGCACCAGGGACCAGCTATCAAGAATAAATTCTAAAAAAAATTTAGGAATGCCTCTTCATTAGGACTTGCATACAACTAGTCATGATAATCCAATGATGCGAGCCATCCATAACAATACAGAGACACTGCAACTGTGGAAGAAAAAGTAAGATGAATCGAAACGCTCAACGCCCTGTGCTAGCTAAAGTACAAGTCCATCGCCCACCATGCGCACTACCTGTCATCATCATCTTTCCGAGGCTCAAAATTGAGCTACATCGGGGGCAACAAGTTAGTGTATGACTCGGTGGAAATGCTCGAGTAAAGCACGTACCTGATTCCCATTGTAAAACTGCTTGTCTCCTTCTTCGTTGCGTTGGTCTTGTAGCGTTCTAATTCTCGGGCCCGTAGGTGGTGTGGGCCGTGGCCCTGCTGCATTGGATCCCGTCTGCGATAAGGTGGAAGGATCAGGACTAGACTGGGACGGGGCTGGTGTAGTTTGACCGTATCCTAGAAACGACCCGACTAGACCGGTGGCTGCGCCCACCGTGGACGAAACAAGTCCGTATACGGTGGACACCGCTCGGACAGGAAGACTAGCGGTCGAAGAATATGCTTCCGTATAAGTCCTGATGGGGATCATGACCAAATTGGCCGTGGGCCCGAGGTCAAGCGTATCAAGGGATTTCTCCTCATCGGCAATGGACAACGTTCGGTTGGGCAATGGCGTCATGATGTGCTTGAGGTTATACGGGCGTTTCTCGTCCGCCATTTGACCATCAAGCCACGGACGGACATTCGCGCGGATAGTGTGTGAAGGCAAGAAGCTTGACCGCACGGAACTACCATCGAACAACCGCACTTGGAGACGATATTCTGTAGGAGGACCCCGAGGAGGCTTAGGCTTTTGCTCGGAACGATCTGTTGTACTGGGGCCTGAAGGCTTGGGAATCGGCTTCACTTCCTTTTCCTTCTGCGGTTTTTGTGGCTTTTGCTGTGACTTCTCTGGCTTCTTCTCTGACTCCTGTGACTTCTGTTCCGGCTTCTGTTCCGACTTCCGTTGCGCAGGTTTTGAAGCCGACTTTTGCGCATTGTCAGTCCTAGCGACATTGAAGCTCCTCTCCCCCAAACGTATATTCTCGCTCTGCGACGGTCCCGACTGGTGCCTTGTTTCTGTATTGTGCGTTTCAGACTGAGATGAGCTCGAAGCAGGATTTGCGCCAGGTGCAGGAGCAGGCGCATGAACGGGCGCAGGCGCAGATGTGTCTGTAGTAACCGGAGCCGGGGCCGGAGCTGAAGCTGAAGTCGTCGCTGCGGCCGCCCCAGTCGAAGTGCCTACCGGAGGCTGAGATTGCGGGCTCTGGGCCTGATCCTGAGCAACCCCCGTAGCAGATGCAGTCGCAGTCGCATCCTTCCTATCCTCAAGAACATCCCTCAACCGCCGCTGGAAATCCTCCTTGTTCGTCTCCGGGATGATATATTCGCGAAGCATGCCATTCCTAGAAGGCACCAGTCAACACGCAGCCCAACAAGCACGAACCAAACCAAACCAATCAACACATACAAGATCACCACAACAGTCGGATACTTAGTAACGGGACAAAAGGACGTCAAGAAGCCCGTTTCTGGAGCATCCTTGGCGAGGCGCAAAAGGACAGATCTCTCGGCGAGGACACGCGCAAACTAATTTATTCGGGAAGAAACCGACGTTGGCGTTTATGTTCAGGTGCAGGTTTGGGTTGGGGGTTTGGAAAGGAGAGTTGGTGTGGAGGTACCTCGTCATCCTTGAAATATTGCTCCTCCCATTGTGTACTTGTTTCTTCGTCGTCTGTGGTTGCTGGGATTAGCTTCGTGATCGTTATCGTACAGTAGGTAGGTTAGGTATGGTAGTACCTCGCACGAAGCAGACAACTGCTTTCTGCTGCTGAACAGCAAGGGCGATGCCTTCTTGAAGATTCCCCGCGAAAAACATCGCGCGTACAGTCAAATGATAATGTAAACGCAACCAAGTTACAAATAGGGAGGAAGGTGAATCAAATCGAAGATAGTGTCGAAGGGAGAGCGGAGCAACATGATGATGTCGGGGCGATCGGGCCCGCCGCCGCCCCTCGGCGGACCCGACAACCACCTCCGAACTTCTTCACCTTTCTTCGTCTTTTCCAGTCGGATATCCCTTCCCACCTACCATCCCTCACCACCGCCAACTTATACAGCCAAAACTACATTTACCACACAAGCGAGTCAGCGCGAATTCCTGATTCCATCATGCGGTCCGTCTTGTCGGCCTTGAACCGCACGGCCGCGACCGCGTGGGCGCAGCCGCCGACAACAGCGGCAATGCGCGGCCCTCGCGCGGCGTTCAAATTCGACTCGATCTGCGCCCGGTGTCGCCGACAACAGGTCCGATCTTACCAGAACATGGCGGACGATCCGCGGTGGCTATCGGTGGTTGATAACCCGGCGCGGATTGTGCGGACGGGCCGGAAGCATGGGCCGGGGTTGATTATCCTAGGTATGGTTGATTGACTGGCTGACTGACTGACTAGTGTGGATGATCACAGTGCTCATTGACTGACTACGATTTACAGCACTGATCCCAATCATCTCCTTCGGGCTAGGCGCCTGGCAAATCCAACGACTAGACTGGAAGACGAAATTGATTTCGAAATTCGAAGACCGACTCGTGAAGCCGCCTCTGCCGCTGCCATCGCGCGTCGACCCCGACGCAGTGAACGAGTTCGATTACCGGCGGGTTTACGCTACGGGTCGGCTGAGGCACGATCAGGAGATGCTCGTTGGGCCGCGTATGCGGGAAGGCGAGGACGGGTTCTTGGTGGTGACGCCGTTGGAGCGGGACGGGGGACGCGGCACCGTGCTGGTTAATCGGGGGTGGATCTCGAGGAGTCTGGAGGATCAGAAGTCTCGAGCGGCAGGGCTGCCGCAGGGGGAGGTGACTGTGGAAGGGTTGCTACGGGAGCCGTGGAAGAAGAATATGTTTACGCCGGATAATAAGCCTGAGGATGGGAAGTTCTACTTTCCTGATGTGGAGCAGATGGCTCAATTGACGGGCAGTCAGCCGATCTGGATCGAACAGACGATGGGTAAGTGATCTGCCATGGGTGGTGTCTCCTAAGCTAAGTCTATGCCACAGTTCCGGACATGGTGGAGGCGTATGATCGAGCAGCCAAGGGTATCCCCATTGGTCGCGCAGCTGAAGTCAACCTTCGAAACAATCACAGCCAGTACATCTTCACATGGTAGGTCCCGTCCCAAAGCATGCATAGCGGGTTCCTTGGCTAATCCTTGATAGGTTTGGCCTGTCTCTGGCAACGTCCATCATGCTGGGTATGATCATCCGCAAGAGACCCAACGAGGCCACGCGCCGTGTCCGTCAAAACAAGAATTGGTAGATATTCTCCGGTCCACGGAGTGAATCGTGGCGATTGTCGATGGCGTTTGGGAAGTTCAAGACGAACTTGTTCTGGTTCTCCATTCCTTTTTCTTTATTTGATGTACTTGTACCTGTATAGTATTGTTCACGGCGGCATAGCCAATCTCATGTCCTGCAAAAGTTCCTTGGGGAGATGCTTTTGCGCAAGAGAGAAGACCGTGGTCGCATTGCTAGTGTGCCGTTGTCTAGCCAATTAGTATATAGTCAATGCAGAAATCACCCGAATCCAATCGACTCACCTCCTCATCAGAGTCGTAACGTCACTTTCGTCGATGGTTTTCCGACCGGCGTGTTTTGCGTACGCCGCGAGGTCTTCACCGGCCTGTTCGAAGTACCAGGCCGAAGCCTGCTCAATGGCCGCCAGCGTAGCCTTGCTGATCTTCGCCTTGGATCCCGCCCTCGACGGGGCAAAGCGCGTCGCCAATTTCTTCACCACGCCTGTCGGCAGGTTGGGAACAGGGATACCATGTCGCGAGAGCTTCTTCTGTTTGGTTCCTTGAAAGAGGGTGCTCTCGTCACGCAGCCCTCCCCCGAGAACCCCGGAACTCTGACTGGGCGAGACGGGAGCGGCAAGATCAAGCCCCAAGCCAAATCCGCCCGTAGCATCGCCCGCATCATCGCTGTCGTCCGACGCAGGGGCGGGCCCTGGTTCTAAGTCGACTGCCGGAAGCTCGAACTCATCGTCATTCATCGGCTCGTCCTGGATTAGGTCATCACCCGGCGGGGGCGGGGACGGGAAATTGAAGTCAAAGTTGAACCGTCCAAGATCCTCCGTTTCGCCTCTATAGAGAGCAGTTAGCACATCCTACCGAAAAGCTATAGGGGTAAGGGGGGAAAATCCACACACCCTCTATCGAAAGCACCCTGGCTCATAAGTGTTTCATCCTGGCCGTCATCATCAGGCATGATACCCGTGTCGCCCTCATCCTCACTGCCACTATCGAATCTAGCCGCGTCGCCAAACTCGCTCAGCCGAGGGGCACCGAAACTCGCCATCGACAATCGCGCCTTGTCATGTTCGCTTGGCGCTCGGCGGGGGTATTCAACGGTGATATCTTCCTCCTCGAAAGCCAGCGAGAAACGAGGCGGGCGTGGCTCCGGACTACCCTCGCCCTCATCCTCGTCCTCTTCTTCCGCTAGCGGCAACGACAAACGAGGCCGCTCAATCTCAGGTTCGTTGTCGAGTTCCTCGATCTCGTCCAGTTCCGGCTCCGACTCCGGCCCCGGGGCGACTTGGGGCGACGATCGGATAGGTTGAGACACAGGGGCAAGGGCTATTCAATTGGATGTTAACAAACCATTCGGCCCAACCACATGACGACATCCGTGGACAATCCTACCTTTTCCGAGATTCCTCAAGATATCAAATGTCGTCTCTCGCTTGGCCGGCCCGCTTCGTCTGCGGTCACGACCGGGGGTATTCGCAGCGCGCCGCTGCATAGCACGGAGTCCATGGGGCGTAGATGGAGCGCCGACTCCTCGTTGACGTGGCGTGAGTCGCGATCGAGAAACCGATCGGTTTGCGGATGGCGTCGTTGACATTGCGAGCCGACTAGGTGTGTATGGGTAGCGTGGAAGACGCTGGAGCTGTTTTAGATTAAAAACTGACTACTGTAAGTTAAGTTCAGGGACTTACTCCAGTCAGGGTGGTGTCTCCTGGTGTAGAGATCACCGAGTTCGCGGGCCCCCGTGACCGACGGCCACGCGGTTCGGGGGTTGCGGACATGGTAGGGAATCGGCCAGGTCAGTATCAAGTCAATTGGGGGGAAATAATCCGAATCAGAAGAATTGGAAATCAATGACTAGTATGTAAAGAATTAAGCGGGCGATTGACCGCAAACCGAATCAAGTCGGGGATGTAAGGCGGAGGTTGAGTGGAAAGCGCGTCGAAACCATAATAAGAGGATCACGGGTCTTGGCGGTATCTTATCGATAAGCACGGTTGACTCAGCAAAAAAAAGTTGATCGAACCGCATTATCAATGCGACATTTTGCGCACTCCTTCAATTCGTTATCAAGTCAAGAATTGCTGGATTTTCGACAATCCAAGAAAAGATATTGAAAATGGCTGCCGAAAAGCCCCCCAAATCTAACCCCTCGGCCCTGTCCGCCAAGGTGGACAAGAAGCGCAAGAGACAGGCGGAGGAGCCCTCGAAGCCGGCAGAGACGCCCAGCGGCAACGCCGCGGAGCCCAACACGAAGAAAGCGAAGAGCGGAAAGGGGAAGAACAAGAAGGATAAGAAGAAGACGGATGGCGATAATACTGAGAAGAAGGACGAGAAGCCTAAAGATACCAAGCAGACGGAGACCAAGGGTGGAATTGACGAAGCTATTGGGAAGATGGACGGCCGACTTATCGCGGACCACTTTGTGCAACGGGCGAAGCGGCATAATAAGGAATTGACTGCTGTTGAGCTGAGTGATATGTCTGTTCCTGGTGAGTCTTCTCTCCCTCTTTTCTTTGGGGTTGCGGGTTGAAACAATGTTACCGTTGATACTGATATCATGGATATAGACTCCGCATTCCTGGATACCTCGTCTTTCGACAAACCGAGACAATTGGAGGAGCTCCCCGCATTTCTGAAGGCGTTCAGCCCCAATAAGGGCGCCAAGTTGTCCCAGGCCTCCGAAAAGAAGGGCGCACCGAATACTCTGGTTATCTCGGGCGCTGCGCTGCGGTCTGCCGACGTTGTCCGGTGAGTGTCAACGCAGTCATCAAAGCGTCTAAGATACTAACAGTAGATTTAGGGCATTGCGCACATTCCAGCACAAAGAGTCTATTGTCGCGAAGCTGTTTGCGAAACACATCAAACTTGAAGAAGCTAAGCAGTTCCTGCAACGATCGCGGTATGTTCAACCACATAATCAACCAATAACGACTGCGACTAACTGTATCACACAGATCGGCTATTGGTGCCGGTACGCCCGCGCGCATCTCCGATTTAATCGACGCTGGTATTTCCCTCCTCCCCTGGCTCACCTTCAACTCATATTCTACGGACTAGTCAACTAACGAAGATAGGCTCCCTCAACCTCGAGGAACTCGAACGCATCGTCATCGACGGATCCTACGTGGACCAGAAACAGCGCGGCATCTTCGACATGAAGGAGACGCATTTCCCGCTGCTGAAGCTGCTGAATCGTCCGGAGCTGCGGGAGCGGTATGGGGCGAAGAAGAAGCCCATCCAGATCTTGGTGTATTGAGCGACGAAATGCGATGCATGGCGTTTGGTTCTATTTTGTCCGCTTAGAGCGAGTTACGTCTTTTGTATATAATTCATTCTATGTAGTATAGTTAGTATACTACTAAGTCTTGAGACAGCTGTCGCGGTCTTTATCTCTTTGAGAAATCTAACCTGCTAGACTTCATACAGAATATACTGGCTCTTACCTGCATATGCAGAAAACAAATACTTCAATCTCAGATGCACAGCCCAATAGAACACAAAAACCAAAGATCTAGGTACAGGATAAGCACTGTACCTGACTGTACCTGACAAGCTCATCACTGATTGATATTGATATAGATAACACACACCGCCCACCCTCTCCGCCCGGCAAAAAAGAAAAAGAAAATGTAATTTTTCTTCCTACAATTTTTCCCGCTTTCCCCGATCTTCAATCCAGCCAGCACTTTTATTTTCCCCCCAATTCTATTATTTTCCGGGGTGACTTTTTCTGATCGCTCAGAAAATTCTTGTGATTTTTGTTTGATTCTTTTTACGCACGGGATTCTCGATACAAAATGGGCGGCGACAAGAAGCGCAAGCTCGCGGTCGAGGCGGGCGAGCCTGACTTGAAGAAGGCTAAGAAGGACAAGAAGGAGAAGAAGGAGAAGAAGGAGAAGGTGAAGGAGGTTGTTGAGGAGCCGGTTGTTCAGGAGGAGGCTGTAGAGAAGAAGGAGAAGAAGGAGAAGAAGGACAAGAAGGACAAGAAGGAGAAGAAAGAAAAGAAGGATAAGGAAGAGAAGAAGGAAAAGAAGGAAGAAAAGAAAGAGAAGAAGGACAAGAAGGACAAGAAAGAAAAGAAAGAGAAGAAATCCAAGGACAGCGCCGAGCAGCCCGAGGACGCCATGGACGTGGACGTGAAGCCCACCGAGGAAGCGCCGGCCGTCAATGGCAGCGACAAGAAGGACAAGAAGGAAAAGAAAGACAAAAAGGAGAAGAAGGACAAGAAGAAGGAGAAGAAATCCCAGGACGCCCAGCCCAACGGAGCGCAAACCGAAGAGCCAGCAGCAGAGGCCGACGAAGCCTCGTCCAGCCAGAAAGGAAACCGCTTTATCGTCTTCGTTGGTATGTTCCCCAACTACTCCCTCTCCCTCTATAATTATGTATATACTAACAGAAATAGGAAACCTCCCCTACTCAGCCAACACCGAATCCCTCACAAAACACTTCGAGAAGATCGCACCGGCCTCCGTGCGCGTCGCCACGCAAAAAGACAAGCCCACCCACAGCCGCGGCTTCGGCTTCGTCGAGTTCGACAACTACGATCGCATGAAGACCTGTCTCAAGCTCTACCACCACTCGTCGTTTGACGATGGGAAGTATCCCCCGCGACGGATCAATGTCGAGTTGACGTGAGTTTCCTACACTTTCCAATTTATTCCCCCCGGTTTTGGTAATGATATCGATACTAATGTAAATACCGATAGTGCCGGCGGCGGAGGCAACACCGACCACCGCAAATCGAAGATCGAAGCCAAGAACAAGAAACTGTTCGAAGAGCGCCAGCGCGCCGTGAAGCAGACCAAGCAGGAGAACCACAAGGCTCCGGCTGCGCAGACGGACGAAGCGGATGTCTTTGCGGGTGTGCATCCTAGTCGGAGAAGGCAGCTGGCTTAGATGTTATTTCCTCTTGATATTTTATTCCCTATATTATTATTTCTTCTATGTTATTTCTTCTATTGTATTTCTTTCTATGTGTTTTTCATGCGCTGGACTATGAAAAGTTGCATACTGGTGTTTCCTTCGAGATATCCTTTTTGTTCTCTTGTTTTGCTGTGGACAGGATAGACGGCAATTAACATTGGATCACGTACTGTACTATGGTAGACATATATATGTATGGTTTTGAACTCTACATCCATTCCTTGGAAAGAGAGACCGGCAAACCCATCAAGGGACATTCATTGCGTGATATTGTTTGACATGTTACATCTTTATACTGCATTAGGAGGAGCAAGAGGGAGAAAGAGTTGGACCCGGAGGAAGGACCAGCACCGGATTAAAGATGCGGACCAAGTGCGGACCAAGTGATCAAGTCGGACCAAGTGGTCAAGTTGGAGCAAGTGATCAAATCGGACCAAGTGATCAAAAGCGGATCAAATATGAGGAGTAGGAGAAGGAGGAGAGGGCAGAACCAAACAATCATCAGGGGGACATAACCGAACCCCCACCAACTTAGACGCCGTGTATTAATGGTGATTATTAAGAGATCAAACGAGCAAAGGGAAATCACAGGATGAGGCACTTCTTGCCCCTTTGCTTGGTGGCGGGTCGAGGGTTCAGCACGGCCCTGGAGAAGCGTCAGTCAATGAAAGGGCTAGCGTGAGGGTGAGGGGGGAGAGCGTCGCGCATACCGAATCGCCTCGTCAAAAACGCTCTTCAGATTGCGCTGGGTGAGGGCGGAACATTCTAAATACTTGTGGGCGCGAATCTCCTTGGCCACGGAGAGCGCTTGCTCGTAGGATACCGGCTCCATCTTTCTCTGGCGCAAGGTTGTGATGGTGGCGTGGTCGTCCCTCAGATCGAGCTTGGTGCCGACAAGGATGATGGGCACTCCGGGCGCGTGGTGTTCGATTTCGGGGAACCACTACATCAGGAGGAAGTCAGTGGATAGATCGGTGCGATGGGAGGGGTTCGCGTTGACGCACCTTGGCTTTGACGTTGTCAAAGGAGGGAGGGCTGACGATGGAGAAGCAGATGAGGAAGACATCGGTCTGGGGGTAGGAGAGCGGGCGAAGGCGATCGTAATCTTCCTGTCCAGCAGTATCCCACAGTCCTAAGCTGATGGGCTTCCCATCCACCATAACACTGGCCGTATAGTTATCGAATCTGCGGGGGTCAATAGGCGAACGGAGGGTTGGTCGGGGGGGAGGAGAGGGATGACGGACACAGTTGGGATGTATTCCCCGGGGAAGGCGTTGGTGGTGTACGAGATCAGGAGACATGTCTAGGTCGAGATTAGCGATGATGACGCGACAAGAGAGGAGGAGGGGGGGATACACACTTTTCCAACGGCACCATCACCGGTCACCACACACTGTGGATTGATTAGCGGAATGTCTCAAATAAGAATGTCGATTGATGACGAGTTGAATAAGAATGTCGACTGAAGGGAAGAAGAATGAGGCGTACCTTCAAAGATTGAGTTGCCGGACCCGTGGCCATGATGGGATCAAGGTTTGGGGGGGAAGAGTAGAGGAGCGGAAAACAGAAGCGACCAAGAGAAGAACAAAGTAACAATGGAGAGGGGATGAGGAGAGGGAAATGCTTGGGAGGAACCAGAGAAGCAAAGCTAGGACAAGAACCAGACCCGAAAGTAGCAGCAGGCCAAAGCGGGTATCTATCTGCAAGGACAAACCAAAGCAACTGATGGTTAAGTTTGAGCTCAACCAAGGATGATGGGAATGATGGAATCGAGGATGGAAAATAGGAGGCGTAAAATATCAAATATCAAAGATCAAAGATCAAATATAGGAATATATAAAGAAATTCGATAAATCAAAGTAGAAAAAAATGAAAATTAATATAAAAACGGCCAATGACAGGAGACGATCCCAAAGGACAGTCAGGGGGCAAAAGACGAGGAAATGGGGGGACTATTTTAGTACGGAGGACAGGGAAAAGAAGGGAAAAGTGGAGGGAACCAAAGTGGTCGACTGAATGGATGGGTAGAAGTGGATAATGGGTGGATTGACAGGAGAGTAGGATGGTCCATGCGAGGGAGAAGAGGAGGAGAGGAGAGGAGGAGCCGATAGAAAGGACGATGGAACACTTGAAGGTACAGACAGACTGATCGATCACGAGAATTCTGGATGGCCTGAGGGAGAGATCCAGATCAACCATCCGAGGTCCAATTCAGACTGTCGGATTTCTCTCTCACCGTGTTTCTCCACTATGGTTTCTACTGTCTCTCGACGTTTCTGATCTTCTTGAACCACTCAATCTTATATTCCCACTTATATTTATTCCATTCTTGGATCTCTAAGGTATTACAATCCATTCTTGGATCTCTAAGGTATTACAATCCATTCTTCACCGGCCCGCCAACTCAATCGTTCATCCTCCGTCACACAGTGGCGTCTGTACCAGTATACTCCAGACAGGGTTATAGAAGATTCTCTCCTTTACAGTACTAGATACCCCATCTCTAGCATATACTTGAATATATAAAGTTAGAGATATGGTAAATATGTAGAAAGCATAATGTCAGCCCCTCAACACCCCCACCGACCCAGGCAAAAACCCACTCCCAACCTTGACCTCATACGGCTTCTCCATCAGTGGCGATGCCCGACTCCCAAAGTCTTGGAAGTAGGAGCTCAACAAGTGGGTTTGGAGGGCCATTTGATCGCGGTATCTACCATATCTTTATTAATATTTATATATATATATATATAGATATATATATACTCAAGTATATAATGAGTAGCATACCTCTCAACAACAGTAATCTCATTCCCGTCCTTATTGGCAAAAGCGTAGTACAGCAGCGTGTCAGGCTCGTTGGCTTGCACTTGTTTGGAGAGGTCGGAGAGGTGGGTTGATAACTATCTATCATTAGTTTCCTCATCCTCTCTTTCTTCTTGTCCACCCAAGAAACATGGATGAAGAGGAAGATAGGTGACATACCTCCTCCAGCTTGCCCGCTTTCGGATACATCACCGCCACGAGATTAACGCCCGCTTCTTCGAACATTGCTTCAAGACGAGGGAAGTTGCTATGTCCTCACTTCAAGATACTGGGACTGGAAGAATAGGAAAAATCAAAGTCATGAATAGAATAGAAATGGGATGGTTAATAAATATTGGTTGGACTCTTGAAAACGATCACCCCGGAGAAGGGGGTATACGCAACCGCTCACGCGATTACTAAACTCATACTTGGGTCTCCGAGAGCAGTAATACCAAACAAACATTACTTGGTATAGACTATATACGGAGTATATATTAAAGACAAAAATATATAATAGATATATATAGAGAGAGAAATATATATACGCTTTTTATACAGATTGGTATCCACACTCGTATTAAATCATCCACGCCTGAACTCCTTTTCATGGTGGTTGTAGCGTACCCAAGGGAGGGAGTCCTGGCACATTCCTCACATCACAGGAGGCGCAACGAAAGAATCCGGGATCCCTTCAAACACCCAGTTCAATGAATCAAACACCTCCGAAAACCCCGCCTCGCTGATAAACGCCCCGTTGTCGAAATTGGGCGGATAGATCAAACTCGGGTCTGCGAGCGACTCGTCTGCGCGACTGAGGTGGCCGGGTCCGGTTCCGAGGTTGGTTTGGGCGGTTATGGCTGGTCCAGTTAGAAAATAAGATTCTTGTTTCTCTTTTTTACCAGGAAGAAGAAAAAAAGAGAACAAACCAGGATCTTCTATACTCTTCATTGGCCGGAATCGCTGCCGCCAGCGCCAAACCGTGTCATACACGTGGCTCATGCTCATGCGGCACCGCACCTTCAGCTGCAGCGAGTCCTCCTCCAGCGCCGCCTCCACGCCCCCGGCATTCCACATCTGCGCCAAGATGTCCGCCAGCCGCACCGGACGGTCGTGGTCCATCACGCTGATCCGTCGGATCGCTGAGATCGCCCCGTTGAAGAGCAGCTTGCCGTGCTCGAAGTCGATGTGGCGGTTGAAGACGCTCTTGAGGAGCTTCATCAGTGCGAATGCCGCTGACACGATCATCTGTAGAATGTAGTTCGTTGCGTGGCTGATGAGTTCGCCGGGGAAGGTTTCTAGGTCGAGGACCCGTCCCAGGAAGGACGTCGTGGCGATGAACAGCTTTGTGAGGTCGTCGCTGCGTGCATTGGCGCCTAGGAAGACAAAGTATCGCAGGTGCAGCTCGGCGGCTCGGAGATGGATCATGTTGATATCTAGTATCCCATGAGAATTAGACGGAGGCTGGTTGGTGGCTTATATAAAACGTACGCGAGATGTTCCGTCCAAGCTCCACCTCCATATCCCGGAGCTCGTTCTCCAGCAGCTGCACGATCAGCAGCTTCTCCGCGCTGATGAACTCCGCCGGTTCGGGCTTGCTGCTGTACAGCGACTTCGTCACCCGATCACAGAACTTTTCGATTCGAAGACGCGTCTGGAGATCTTCCGGAGGGCTGTAGTCGGCATCTCGCAGAGACGCTGGCTCCAGAGCCCAGTCGTATATTGTACCCGGTGGTTGCCCGTAGCCTGTGGCGACGCTATCAAGAAACAAGTAGTCAGCACAATGTTCGAGGGGTGAGTTAGAGATGACCATGGTTGCCCACTTTTGTGCTACTATATTGCAGATGACCCACGTCTGCAGACGGTCCTTGAGGGCTTCCCCTTGAGCCTCCATGCGGAAAGTAGTGAACTCCTCCGCCTGGACCGGCCGATGCAGCCCCAGCTGCATGGCAATCTGCATCATCAGTCCACTGAGCATGAAGGTCGCGTCGGTCCTCTGGCTCGTCGTGGGGAGAGGCCACGTGCAGAGAAGGCAAAGGGCCTTGACCACACGATAGTCTTGGGGGACAGCGGTGATGGTCGACCAGAGGAGTCGGCTGAAGGGTGCTGAGAGTGCACTAAGAAGGCCGGGCTCGGATGGTGCCCTTCGGCTGGCAATGCAGATGATGGTCCATGCCTGCAACGGACACCGACGAAGGTACTCGTCCGGGGGTTTTTGCGCGTTCAATAGCGGCAGAAAGGGGTGATAGTACTTAAAGAACCTGCAGACGAGGTCAGCATACTCGATAAGACATGGGGAGCGCGGGGTCCGTTACTGGTCAAATAAGCGTTCCACGCGGGGTTTGGACAAGGAGACATCCTCCAGTCGCCATAAATTGTCCTCCTGGGACAAGACGGGCCCGTCCTGATGCATGGTCATCGGGGTAGCTAGCGGCTGAGGCCCCAACGGCGCCGACATGGGTCGTTGCCGAGCGGAGGCCCCGGCGGAATCGGGGCGACAGAACACATCTTCCGAACACTGGGATAAGTCATCGCTGGCGTTGGCCTCTGTCGTCGGCGCATGTTCTCCGCTGGCTAGCCGGCGCCGGAGGTCAGCGATCTCTCGCTCCATCTCGGCATTGCGTCTGAGACACCGTTTGTCAATATGGCACGGGATGGGTCTCAAGTACTTTTGTCCGAGCTTACCTGCGCTTGGAAATGCGCGTAAATGTCGGCTCGACCTTGCATTCAATTTGCAGACGCCGGCAACGCGAGCATGCCGTAGCAGGGGCAGAGACAATGTCACATTTGAGCTATTCGATCTCAGCACCAGCTACAACCCATGATATTCCATGTATGTAACCAAATATGTAGTATCAAGAGTACGGGATCGATTGATATATGGACAGAAGAAAGGAAGAAAGACAAAACAACAAAGAACCAAAGAAAAAAAAGAAAAAGAAAAGAAAAAAGAAAAACCTCAATACATGAGTGTCATACCTTTTGCTGCTTACATTCATTACAAGCCTTCCGACTCCCCCCCCGGCGCTTTCTCGCGACAGGCGGGGCCTTCTCCATCTTGCAAGGTTCGGAGTTCCTAGAGGACTGATCATACGCCGTCAATGGTCCGGGCATACTGGGGTGGTTCCGAGGGTCGCTAGATGCACCCGGGGGCGTTATCAGATTGACATGAGATGACAGGCCATTTGGTGCCAAAAGACTCCGATAGTCCAGATCCATCGGTGTTTTCGGCTCCTATTTAATCAGATCAAGATGGGCGCCAACTACCGTGCGGGGCCGTTTAGAAACACATGCGGGACTTGGGGACGTGACGCAGAGCAAGAACCAGCAAGACCAGCGAATTCCAGGGTGAGATGTGCCGGAAATCGGCGGAAAACGTGTGGATTTCACGATGTTTTGGGGTGGGATGCGCGAAACTCGGGGAAACACGTGCTGCTGAGTCAGTGTTGAGTCAGCCTGAATAGTGGATGACTGGACAGTGTATAGCAGTGCATAAGGATGGCATAGATTGGGGCGGCAGAATGACGGCAGCCTGCTCACCGCCCACCTATCAGGCCCAGAGGAGATACGGTGGTTGGATCTCCCCTGATCGGAATACATCTGGCTCCATAATAGGCTGCAGCCATTCTGATAGCCTTGAATTGCTCATTGTCTGTCGGACACTCTCTCATCCTATCGATTGTTTCCGTCTCTATTACTATTCCACTTAGTTGTCCCTTGTTTGATCAATCTCCATGGCCGATGTTGCCTTGCCTGATAGTGCCGCTCCGGCCAACTCCTCCCCTCATGAACCCGATGCGCCCCCACTAAGTGCTGTCTCTGGTGGCCCGGCAGGAGGGACTGAACCTCCATCGGATCCGTTGTCTATTTCGGATGAGCTGAAGGCTCGCTTGGATAAAGTGATCTACTCGGATGTACGTTCCTCTCTCCCCCAAGTGGGGAAACGTCATACCCCTATCGATAGGGTACAGCTGACAAAGGACGATCGCATTGGATAGATTGGTGTCACGACTCTTCTGAACCGACTGAAACAAAGCCTTGCATCTGCTAGGGTTCGTCTGCTTCTCTTCTCTCCTCTCCACTTGTTGCGTTTGAGTAGTACGGTAGTGACTAACGGGATATCATCACAGGACTTCTCCACGTTTCTGAAGAAGCGCTCCAGCTTGGAAGAAGAGCATGCCCAAGGCCTGAGAAAGCTGTCTCGCTCGCTCCAAGATGCCTCCCTCCGCTCCGAAAACCGCCAGGGTACCTACAGCCAGAGTTACAACGGCCTGAACCGCTTCCACGATCGCATGGCCGACCATGGACTCCAGTTTTCCGTGTCGTTGCAGCAGATGGCCGACGACTTGCATGAGCTGGCCGCGAACATCGAGAAGGGCCGGAAACAGTGGAAGGCCACGGGCCTGACGGCAGAGAAACGGGTGCTGGAAGCCGAGACGGCGGCGGAGAAGGCCAAGTCCAAGTATGAATCGCTGGCGGAGCAGTACGACCGCGTGAAGACGGGCGACAAGCAGGGGGGCAAGTTTGGCCTCAAGGGTCCCAAGTCGGCGGCCCAGCATGAGGAGGAGCTGCTGCGCAAGGTGCAGAACGCCGACTCGGACTACGCCGCCAAGGTCCAGGCCGCCCAGACGGCGCGGAAGGAGTTGATTGCGACCCACCGTCCCCAGGCCGTGCAGAACATTCAGCAATTAATATCCGAGTGTGACTCGGGGTTGGCCTTGCAGCTCCAGAAGTTTGGTATGTACGGTTCTCGACGAGATCTTGGCGCTGGACTGACCTGGATGTATAGCCACGTTCAACGAGAAATTGCTCCTGGGCCAAGGTATGACCATCAGCCCGTTGAAGGACGGTGTGGGAACGGCCGCTATTGGGCCCAAGAGCCTTTACGAGGTGGTCTTCCAAATCGACAACCAGAAAGACTATCACGAATATATCCTAAGCCACGCAAATAATCCCGGCGCTGTGACGTCGGAACAGATCAAATACACACGGCATCCGGTGAGTCTCCCCCTGTCCAGCTGTCAAAGTCCCCGCCTAACCCTGTCCTCAGACACTTGCAGGGACGTCGTCGGGCCCTCCTGCGCCAGCGTCACAGACCAGCACGCAGCACAAGCGCCAATCGACCATGCTCCCTTCGACATTCTCGCAGCCGAACCTCACTTCTACGCAAGCACCTACGCAAGCGCCAGCGCCGGCGCCGGCGCCGGCACCGGCCTCGAACACCCCGCAGCTCCCGTACCCGCATAACCCCGATTCGTTCGGATCAGCTCCCTTCCAGCAGCCCACCTACGCCCAGGGACCCCCGCCGCCAGAGAAGGTGCTGACCGTGGTCGGTGGCCTACCATCGCCTGTAAACAATGTGCAGCAGCAGCAGCACCTCCCGCCGCTGAAGCCCGTGTTTGGCGTCTCGTTGGAGGAGCTATACGAGAGAGACGGGACCGCTGTCCCCATGATCGTGTACCAATGCTTCCAGGCTATCGAGCTGTTTGGACTCGACATGGAAGGGATCTATCGACTATCGGGCAGTGCGACCCAAATCGCGCAGCTGAAGTCCCTCTTCGACAATGGTGAGTTGACTCTTCCCTCTTCCTCGTTGGTTATCGGCTCTCTGACCGGAAGCGACAGATTCCTCCCAAGTGGATTTCACGAACCCCGAGAACTTCCACCACGACGTGAACAGCGTGGCCGGCCTTCTCAAGCAGTTCTTCAGGGACTTGCCCGATCCGCTATTCACTTCCCAGTCATATACCGAATTTGTCAACGCGGCTCGTACGTATTCAACCACAAGCCTCCTGAAAGCCAACGCTGACACAAAATCTTTAAGGCCTTGACGATGACACCCAACGTCGCGACACCATCCACGCGCTGGTGAATAACCTCCCAGACGCTCATTATGCCACCTTGAGGGCCCTCGTCCTGGTACACCCCCTAGCCCCTCTACACACTCGTAAAAATCAAGCTAACCACCTCATAGCACCTCAACAAGATCCAAGAGCACTACACGCAGAACCGCATGAACGCGGGGAACATTGCCATCTGCTTCGGGTAAGCCCCTCCCCGCTCATATCCCACATTCCATCAAGAGTCACAAATCTAACGTGATGAACAGACCAACCCTCATGGGCGCCAGCTCCCACGGCAACATCGCCGACGCAGGATGGCAAGTGCGCGTCATCGAAACCGTCCTCGTCAACACCTTCCAGATCTTCGACGACGACTGATTGATTGATTCGTAATGAATGAATGCTAGCTCCTATTTGTAAACTTGGAATATGCGTCTTTTATCCCCCCAGCTTGCTATAACCCCCTTTCCCTTGTTTTATTTATTTCCCCTTTGTGTTCTTCAACTTGGCTATCTACCCGTTTCTCAGCTTTCTTTCTCTGGGTTGTCTATTCTTTATGTACCACCTGCTACTTATACCTGCTACCTATACCTATACCTATACCTACTACCTACTTCTTACCACATACTTATACTTCTTACTACATACATACCCCTCCACACAACTGGATCAATATGGAAATTCCACTACCAACCAGGCCTTACTGTAAATCACGCCAGTTTCCCATGTGATGAATTCACCTATCTATCCATCACCCTCCCTCCCTCCTCCCCCTACTGTGACGCGACAAGATGAGTGAGAGAGAGACAAGATACCGCTGAATGAAATTCCTTATGAACACATCTTATCCTGTTTTCCCTGTGCTTTCTTTTTATGTATGATTTGATGGGGTTGAGTTTCTTTCACTAATCATCTTCTTTGCTGTTGCTTTATTTTCTTATCTTTGTTTTATTTGTTGTTGATGTTGTAAATTGTAAATTGTAGATTGTAGGTTGTAGGTTACTATACTTGAAATGTTAGATTGCAGGCTTGTTCAACTTGAACTGGGCTGGGTGACGATAGATGGCGGCGCTGGGTCGAAATGATTCAAAAAGGGTTACTAGTCAAGCTACGATACTACACGAACAATGCCACGAGGGTAAACGGTAAACGAGTACGTAAATCATAGATGTTTCATTCGAAAGCGACAGTACTGATCCAGTCTCTCAGAACAAATACACTGAACTTAACAAAGAACAGGGTAATATCAAAGATCGACGAGTAGCAGCCTTCTGACCGCGCCGGTACGTTCCTCCGGCTTCCGCAAAGCAATAAGTCAACCCGAAGACACGACGAAAAAAGAAGAAACCAGGTCCGAAAACAAAGCGTAACAAAAAGAAACACATCTATGCCGATCGTGGGTATCTACCAACGCCTCGTTCCGTCATAGTCCCATGTTGAGAATAGCAGTCGAGTCAGGACAAGGCCCACTCTCCCATCGATCACCCATGGGCGATCGAAGGGGATCTAACAAGTAAAGATCAAAGACTCGTGCATCGTTCGACAGAAGGCCCAAGTCCGGTATACCGAGCACAGAATGGGTAAAGAAAGGTAGAAGACACAAGGACGGTGTGCCACGGTCGTCTACGCTGAGATTGCGAGAACAACCGCGGATGGATGGCACACCATGCCCTCTATTCAACCATTCCGGGGGAACCGTAGACTTGGGGGGATGGAACCGGAACGCGGCGTGGTGACACGCTTAGAATCCATGGACCTTGATGGTCTTGGCATCAAGCTCAAGACCTTCCTTCTTATCGGTCAAAAACTCCTGAACATCCTTGCGCTGGTCTCCCTGCAGCTGGATCACCTCGCCCATCTCGGTGTCGTTGACGATGGTGCCATTGCAAGCTGAGCTACGTTAGTGAAGCTCGACGGCGACAGTCGGTAATGGGAGACAACATACCGAATTTCTTCTTGATCACCTTCAAAATCTTCTTCTGGTCAAACTTCTTGGGAAGACCCTGGACGGTGGTCAAGGTCTTACGACCATTGCGTTCTGTAAGCGGGAAGTCAGTCATCCATCAGTCATCCGTCCTCGTTCGTCATCGTGAGACACAGTGCCAAGACGGCAGACAAGCACAGCCGAACAAAAAGATCACAAATGAAATATAGGAAGAGACATACGTTGAATCCGTATATGGATGTAATTTTGAGACTGTTTAGTCTCGCCGGTGTCTTCGTCAGCTTCGGCGAAGGGGTCTGTGGAACGGGCACGTGTTAGCAGCCTGAGGCATACCAGAAACTGATTGGAATCTACCCCGCCGACACCGTCGATCCGCGAGAGAAAAGGAGCCACACGGATCTCACGCGAGCATCCGCACGCCGATCCAGACCGACCAGAGGGAGATGTAGTCCAACTGGCATCCCCGACGGACTAGGCTAGACAAGACGTGCGATGGAGAGTGGATGTGAAGGGCAGAACAGCCAACGAAGGGAGGGTGGCGACTGTGGACTTACCGAAGGACTTGAGGTTTTCGATGGACATAAACTCGGCCTTTTGCGATAAACGGCTCTTAAAAGCTGTAGGTAGAAGGGAACGATGGAAGAGAATTAAAATCTCTTAAAAACGAAGCGATCGTAGGAGTTGGTGGGGGGTGAGGGGTGAATGTGGTAAAGAGTAGAGAGATGGATGGAGAATGAGGATCAGGGAGAGAAGGTGGGAGAAGGGAATAAGAAGAGCCTTTTGAGGGGCTGTGGGGGAAGGCGGTGTGTGGCGGGTCATGACTCAGCCGGGCTCGTATCTTCCATTTTGCTTCTTTTTTACCTTCAATGATAACATCCTCCACATTGGTTCTGTTTTACACTCTGGTTTCTTTACTTTTTCTTTTCTCTTTTTTTTTCTCTTTAGTACCTGTTCACTACTTTGATATCTTCTGGCATGATTCTGGTTGGTTCTCTGGTTGACAGAGGAGTGGCAAACCCCCTTGAGACCCATCTGACATGCATCTCGACATGCGTTTCTGCCCTTTCCCCTTCCAGTAAAGACCGGGCGCGGTCTTTGGGTTGCGCCCAACGCGCACGTCGCACAGTTCGATCAGGTAGGAATCGGTAGGGATCTATCTCCTATCATGGTCGTGGTGATAGCGATTACCCTTTTCTCCCTCCTGTGGAGCATGGATGGCGTGGCGATCTCGATTGGGAACGGGCACGTGATCTTACCATTGGGTGCATGACGATACGACTGACGACTCCGTACGGATGGGGCTGTAGAGGTTGAAATTATTATATTACTAGTACAATGTCATGGGAAGTCCATGGAGAATTGCCGGTCTGAAGAGTCAGATCGAGCCTCCTGAAGAAACCGGGGCGTGCTTTTAAAATCCACCTCGTGTCCTCTTTCCCAACCGCACCCCGCAAACCGGTCGCAAGCGCTGTCGGCAGCCCGGATGTGAACATCCTTCACATCCGCAGGTTTTTTTTTTTTCTGTTTGTTTCGATGGGTATCATAGAATCGGGTGTTCCGGCATCTAGGGGGAAGGAGTCGGGGTGGTAGCGGCACCCCCACCGGCGGGCGTCGGAGGCATGAAGATGGGGAAGTATGTCTGTAGTACGAAGCCGTAAGCCAACACGCCTCATAGGAAAACAGCACCAAAACAGCACCAAATCACGGGGGTGAAAGACGGTGAGCAGTAGAAAATTGGGGGGGGGGGTGGGAAATGCCACAACATACCACAACCAGTGCCATCACTTCAATCGGTCCCTTGAGGTTAGCAGGCAAGATCCACGCACTGCGGACGAGGACAGCAGGGGGGTAACGAACAAGACATCATGACCGACATGTAGCCCGGTGTGCTCGCAGTTTCCTTTTGATCGGGCGTCTCTCCGAGCCAGGATTGGAGGGCGAAAACGAACGAGACCCTGGGGGTGATGGTGTTAGTTGAGGGGTGGAATCGTCGAGCATATCAACACCGGTCAACTCACCATCCAATCATCCTGTACGCGCACCCCAGTTAGATACCAATGATTCCAGTGTGTATTCTGTATATGCAGTCGCTCCTCACCTGTTCCGGGTAAACATCTAGCGAAAATATTAACGGGCATGGAAGGAGATGGTGAGGGCGCAGGCAAACCTACCGCGGCCATGGGCAAGGTGCTGGACATGGTGCCTATATGCCATGGTATTAACCACCCGTCTTTCTCCAAGTATCCCCCGGCAGATAAAACACTGCGGGGTAAAGAGATATAGAGAGAGAGATACCAGTCATGTCGGTTTCATCTTTAGTTTTCGGCGGATCGATGTAGGGGATGGCTAGAATTCCAATGCGATGAGCATCAGCGACCGAGTGCTTCCACAGACAACAACCATCCAGAGCCAGTCTGGGATGGCACCAGTGACGTACCCAAATCCAGCCTCCGCATATCCTTTTTCGCAGCCATTGTCGGGAGTTGAGGGTGAAATTCAGAATGTGCTTGAATTGGCACAGTCGGATTGGGGGAAGATGGAACTGGCCACTCCGGCGAGGTTGTCGGTGCCAAGACTGGCTGCGGCAATCTCGCCGGGGAAGCGATGCCAGTTGGCGGTGGATTACTAGTCTGTCATGATCTCAGTGAACTACGGAGACCGTCATACTACTATAACTATTGGTCGGAAATTCTAACTATTTTCTCATGCAATTCTCCCGAACAACGTTGGTTGGAATAGAGCTCCACGGAATCCATGGGAGGTTCAAGGTAGGTCAAAAGAATTGGCTAACTGGTTTCGGCCGGATTGCGACGCGCAAGACAAAGAGTCCAAGAGCCATCCATGGATTCTCGGTGTGTTGAGTAACTCTGGGGTAACTCTATATCCTCTGGAACCCACTGATAGTACCGGAGGCTAATCCTCCGTCAATCATGATCGAATATGATTAGCTATCATGATCCCTTATCATGAGGATTCGTTTGTATGAACCATGTCAGTGTGACCTGCCGATAGTAGGTGTAGGCCGAGGGTAAGTTGCCCCTATCAGTCCGTCCATCTATCGGTCAGGATCAACCGCAGCAAACCGTTCCGCTTACTCCGTACCACTCTCAATGGATGGATCAACCTTGCTTTTTGTCAGACGTGGAATGATTGACAGAGGTAAATTGGTGACCTGATCCCGTACTCTGTAGACGATCAGAAACGACGAATCCCTTATTCATAACCGCATCTATCCGGGTCAACATCGAACGACTACTAGTGGCGTAAGTCATATAGTGTTAATTATAGGACCGACAACCTGGCCCCCCTAGACCCCAGAAAACACGGATCTCCGGTGATTCGGCCCCGTCCGCGGTCATCCCTGGTGATACGGAGGATCAACCAAGCGAACGGATAGCTGCGTCGTCTTGATGTCTTGGTTTGCATCTGATGTGCTTGTGTCCCGAGGGCAGGCGGAGTTTGCGTTGATAGGGTTGCACGACAGTTGTATCAGATCTGCTGGTGCGTAGCTTTCCTTTTTCTTCTTATTTACTCTGTCTGTCTCTCTCTCCCTCTCTCTCTTTTGACCTTTATGGGGAAGTTTTATGGGGAAGGATTCAATGCCAATGTGTTACGGGAAGTATGGGTCGATAGCATGTTCTTCCATCTTCTTCCATCCATGGTACATGTTGGAGAAGACCCTCGGACCTAGAATCCGGACGTTAAATCAAATCAAATGAAATAAACCACTACTCGGTACAAAAGAAAGTCAGAATGAGGAGATGATGGCGCAATGGCAATCCATGTTTGGTGGTTGTATTGCGGAGATGATCCACGCATATCATGCCACCGACTGGACAGAAACAGAAACCCCTTATTGATTGAAAACTCTGTTGAACGATACAGTATCATCCATAATACATGGGGATTTCATCAGCATTCTGGCAGCTGATTGGCATGCTCATCATCTGATGCCAAGATGGATTGTTGTGGATTGATTTGCCGGATAACCCGATGCTGGCCCAGGCATCAACCCTAGGTAAGACGCTATCAATCGGACTACAGACGGGGAGTCTTCCGTTGGGCCACTTTTGGTGGATCATTTAGTGATAGATAAATCACCAATTCAAATCATATCTCTGCCCGACTCATCAAGGATGTATGAAGCAAACATGACTCGTAAGAGAAACAGTTGATCTTGAATGATGAAGTGGACAAAAGTGGAGTGGATGAAGAAGCCGTCTGATAGTTACGTGGTGAGATGTTTCCGGTATCGTTACCGTGTACTGTCTAGTATTGGAGTGTATTAGAACGGGCCGATGTTTCATTGTATAGGGAGTGAGGCTTAACCAATATGCTTAGAAGAGAAAGGGGTGGGTGTCATGACCGGTAATCTGTACCGCCATCTCCGAGACTCCACCGTAATTGCGGTAACAATACGTTATCTGGAGATCGAAGAGGGAACTCAAGTCCACTACTTACTCCGTAGTACTTACAGCTCTCTCTCTCTCTCTCCAGAGTTTATCTGGACTGGATCCTTTTTCCTCGGACTGGTCTTTTCTCTTCTTTCTCTTCTCCTCTCTCTTGGTTGGGATCCCTATCGTGTTCTGTCCATTGATCTGCCAGTTCGGTGACTCTTTTCTAACAAAATTGGACCTCTTTCAACTCTGGACCTCTCTCTACCGGTCTCTCCGCCTCTACGGTTGCCCGACCTCGCCCCGAGAGACGCCCTCTTGTCTCCCGTTCCCGCGACGGTGTTATTCCGCCTCGCTCCTCTCCCCTCCCCCCTTCTTCACAGACCGATCATCGAATACCGTCGTTGCAGATCGCCTTGGATTTTTACACCGTCGCTCCTCAGTGGTTGATATAACTAGTCTCGTCGCATTTGAAGAGTGACTTGATTCTATTTTTACTTTTTACTCTTCTTTTTCCCTTCGTCCGCATTCCGTCCGGATGGGCTATCGACCGCGTTAATCGCCCCCTCCCCCGTGAATCGCTTCGTTCACTGTCCAACTATTTCCGATGACCATCATTCCGAGTGTGGGCTACACAATGAGACGGAGATGATCCCCCATCCCACTGCCGGCGTCCCCTCGTGGGGTCCTCCCCCCCGTGCCTTCAACCCCAGCGGCGCCAGACGTCCACCCGATCTCTCTCACTCTCAGTCGGAGATGTCCACGTCCATGCCACAGCCGCTCCCCAGGCAGCCGGCAGTGATCGATCTCACCGCAAATGTCGGGGATACACAGGAGAGAGAACCGCCGGCGAAACGGCCGAGGCTGGACCTGCCCGTCGCCGCGCCCTCCGTGGGCGACCGGAGTCCGGTCCCGGGGAGTGCTGGAGAGGCAAGGATCACCCCGGGCGTGGGGAGCGCCAAACCGCCGTCCTTTGCCCTGCGGGGGCGGCCAGTGTGGTCCTTCCAGGCCTTGGTGTCCGAGGCCCCCGGGGCGGGTGATGCCCGGGAGGGTGATGCGGCGGCCGTCGCACAACGCGGGAAACGTGCAGAGCCACCCCCGTTCCCTGTGCTGCCGTGGCAAGGTCCCCCTCCATCATCACTGGAGTCTGGTGGCGCGAACTCGCGAGACAGCCCCCCGTCAACGGTGGTGCAGACAACCCCCTATCACATCGAAGTTCCACCCAGTGCGCCGGTGCTCAAAGGGGACCGTGAGTAATCCCTTTCAGACCCAAAGAATAGGAAACGAGCTTTTCTGACAGACGGTAATCGCGCAGGAATCGCGGACTTTTCGCCTTGGACCGGAAACCACCCGGAAGACGTCCTGAACGAGCAGACGGCGAAACAGGGCCACTATGACCGGACCCAAGTGTCCCAGAACGAGTCCAACACCGCTCGGCCCTCCCTCTACGCGCAATTGAAACATCGCTCGGGCTTGCATATGCTCTCCTCCGTCTTTACGGCCGCGCTGGAGAAGCGTCAAAGCCACAACACCGTCGCGAACCCCTCCACCTTCAAACCACCACCCCGCGTCACCCTCACGGATAATAAGCGCGAAGTCTGGCTGCGCGACCTGGCCAATTCATCGGTCCCGCTGCGCCGGTTGAGCCGGACCATCCCTCACGGGATTCGGGGCAAGGTTCTCCTGGACCAGTGTCTGAGCAAATGGATCCCCGTCAGCCGCGCCGTGTGGCTGGCCAAGTGCGTCGGCGCCAACGAAATTCGTGCTTTCAAGAGAAAGGGTACGAGTGGAACGCTAGCGGTCGGCTTGGAGGCCAAATGGGTTCGTGACTGGACCGCAACTGTCCAACAGTTTCTAGAGGGTGTGATCGCCGCCTGTGGATCTGCGGATTGGAGGAAGAAAATGACATACGCGTATGTTTCCCCACACGGATGGTGGTGTGGTCGTCTAGGGAACACATCGAACTAACTCTTCACAGTGTCAGCTTGACTGCGCGCCTGTTCTTTGAGCGACTGCTTGACCATGACCAGTATCTCGGGTGGTTCTTGACGTCCTTGGAGGTTGCGCCCCTAAATACCGTCCCTGCTTGGCTTTTGATGCTTGGTATTTACTGGGACAGTATCCTACGGTATAGGAAGCGTGCACGACGATTAACCGAGTCGCTTCTCGCAAAACTGCACCCGGTATGGCTGATTGCACCCCAATTGACTCTCACTGTGTCTAATTCGATGTGACAGATCTCCGAGCTCGACCGCACCGCTCCTCTCCGACCCCTGGCCGATCGCCTGTCATTCTTCGTCAAACGACTCATCCTCGAACATACTTCCTCTGTCGTACTGCTGGACTCCTGGGACAAGTATAAGGACCTCATCTCATCTTGTTTGGATTTCAACGACAATGTCCACAAAGCAGTATTCCAGACTCTCGCCGAACGCAACCTGCGTATACAGTCGCCGAAGAGCCAACAAGGGCTGGGGCAGCAATCGTCTCAGCAGCGTTTAATTCATCTCTTGGATTCCATCAACACAACACATGATATCTCGGCGTCCTCCGCCGCGTGCTTGGATGCCATTGACGATAGAGGCGTCGTGGTTTCGAAGCTTCTCGAGTGGACCGCTACTTCATTCCGATACGGTATCTGCCGTGTCTACACCGCTGTTCGCCTCTTGCGGAAGTGGAAGGCCTCCGGAGTCGACATTGACTCGCACATCTTAGACTTTCTCAACGGCGACCGAGACTCTGACTCGTTAAACATGAGCAACATCTACCACGTCATTTCGGAGCTTGTCAGGTCCCAGACGTTCTCGGTGGGACGGTATCTGCAATGGTTGATGGCCAAAGGCGTTGCAGCAGATCATTCAGAGCCCCGCCAGCCCCAGCAGTCCGAAGCGCTCGGACTCTTGTTGCAGCTTCCTACGGGCCGGCTCCCAGAGCATGTCCGTAATCTCCGCAACACGCTCTTGACACGGGCTGGGATTTCGGCGTCCCAAGAGGAATCGACGATCACCAGTCTGAAGGCATCCATCGCCGAACAGCTCCCCGACGTTTTTGAGGCTCAAATGCTAGGCGTCACAATGGCGGAAATGTCACCAAACGATCTGACGTGGGCGGTCAAGTCCGAAATCGGTCAGTGGATGCGACGAGGTGTGACTGGGTATACCCGTGAGAGTCATCGGAAAATCCCCGGGGCTTCCTGGGCCACGGAGGCCCGAGTTTGCGCTCTCAATCCTGACCAGTTTTATCGTGTGCGAAGCATCCTGGAGAGCTTTGAAGATCTTTCGATGCTTGCAGACGTGCTCAAGCAGGCTAGCAACTCCGAGCATAGTGTTGTTCTGGCTTCTGCTGCCGACACCGTTAGTTATCATTTCAGTTCCTTTAGCGCAATTGGTGCGGTGGCAGACCTTTTCAAAGGGCTGGTCGAATCATACTCCTGCCTGAAGCGAGTTGGACCGCCGAACCTGGACCTGGTATTTTCGCTTATTGAGCTGGGTCTCCAGATGCCCAATGAGCTCAACACCGTGGCTCTTCTCCGGCAGGATCTCTGTCGGATAGAGAACAGGTCGGCATTGACCGCGCCGTCGCCCCTATCGGACCACGCCCCCTTGGCTTTCAACCCAATGGACTCCGCTTTCCAGGAGAAGCTCGACCAGCTTCTTGGACCGAACGGCGGTATTGACGAATCCACGATGGACACCATCTTCAGCTCACTTACGAAGATTTTGGGGTCCGTTGATGGACAACCCAGGCTGTCGGCGAATGACGCCTGCCGATATCTCGCGCAGCTGAGGCTCTTCCGCCCCAAGCACTTTGACGGCATGCTCGTGCGCTGGATCTGCTCGCTTCTGAGGTCACCCACACGGCCCGCACTCGCACAGATCCTACCACCTCTGATCGGTGTCGGATGTGTCACTATTCAGGCCTTTGTGTTTTTGGTGAAACGGATCTTGCAGTCTGACAAGGTCGCCACGGCATTCCCCAACCTTGCGGATTTGCGGATCGATCTTCTTGAGCTCCTCATCCCGTCCGATTCGTTCGAACCAAGCAGCCATCCGGATTTAGTCACGTACCGCTTCCACCTGGCACAGCGCGAGTTTATTGCCAAGCACCCGCGGGAAACTTTCGATATCGTTCGTGATGCCATCTCCTTGGTCAATTCTCACCATGGCCAGGTTAACCCCCGGCGAGTGGACCTTACCAACTGCGCGATGAGCATAGTGCACATCCTCCTTACCCAGGACCCTGAACGGGCTGTGAAATACTGCATGGAGAAGTTTGTCGATCATCCGTCCTCCACGGGCGTACTGCAACAGGCTCTTGATCGTCTTCTGAGGTTTGATTCTGGACCTGAACGACCGGCCGAGAAGGTCGTCGACATGAATGACGACTTCTCCCTCCCTTTCTGCCAGCTGAAGCTCCAGATCATGTTCAACGCGGAGCCGGGCAACAGCGCGAACAATGGCATCGTCGATGCCATGTTTAGTGCAGCCGTGGCGGACTCTCGTGCGAATCGGTCGCACTGGGTTGGTCTCGTTAGCCTGATGAGTCTCGATGCCGTACGGCAGATTCGAGAACGCGCCGAAAAGGCTTTCTTCGCTATCCCCATGTTCGAGGACCCTGCTCATGACTCCACAGCGGATCGAGCAAGCTCGCCGGAGATCGCCAAACTCTATCTTACCATTATCGAGAAGCTGGCCTTCAGTGTTCCTGAAACTGGGGTACCGTCTGCCGCTCCTATTCTCGTGGAGAAGATGGATCTTCTGCTCCACCGGCTCGTCGTCATGCAGAATAACTTCCTTGGTAGCGCCGCCAACAAGCAGGGCAGCGGTTCCGAACAGATGGTTCGCGCCCGAGCTAATTTTGAGCGAACCCTCGCTTTCTGGTTCTCTGCCTTGCTGAAGATCGTGGTCATCCATCGAAGTTCCTTCGTGACATCTTCCCTGACCGCCCGGCCCACCCTCATCCAGGAACAGTCGCGCCTCTTGATCTCCATATTCTGCATCTCGCTCGCGCGTCTGCCCGACAACGTGCTGCGTCTTTTCCCCGCCGCCGACTACTTCCCCCACCCCGTTCTGTCAGAGAAGCACCGCCCATGCCCTGGGATCCTGCTGCAGACGCACGCGTTGGACGTCGCAGCGTCCCTAATCGACATGTTCCCAGACGAGGCCCGGCAGCACTGCGCACGCTTCCTCAAGGAAAAATGCCCGCCCTTCATCCAAGTCCAAGCCAATCCTCGGGTCCCGTATCTCCTCGGGCCGGTCCCCGACGTCGCTGCGAACGCCCCTCAACCGGCGTCCCTCCCGTCGCCGTCGCCTGTAGCCGGTGGGTCGACGCCCACGCCCACGCCAATCCCCTCGGGCAATTTCACCCCCGGCCCCGCGGTGCCGCAACAGCAGATCCCCGCGGCGAGTATACCACCTGGCTTATCGGAAGGCGCCAACTACATTGCCGGACAGCTTCGCCTGCAGTACCGCGGCCGGGTGGTGGGTCCCTACCCGGTCCGTCCGTGGGAACTCCTCGAAGATGCAGCCCCTATCGTGGGGGTGAATGATACGGCGATCAACCTGAAATACTTCGATGCCCGCCGAGTCCGGGCTTGAACATGCTCTTGTCCCATTGACACTTCTAATATTTACGAGATTTTGATTGGAACGTACATAGCCTTGATGTTTATTTTCTTTTTATTTTCTCTCTTTTGTTGCTTACCTTTTTGTTTATTTTCTTGCGCCTCGCATCATTCGTCGGTTGATACCAGCTTCATTTGCATATACATTTGTTGGAGATGGTTTGGTTTCAGAATCCTGCATTGCATTGGTTTTGTCTGCTGGGCTTGTCTCTCCACTTGCATGTCTGGTTTTTTACATTTTACGTTTGTTTTGTTTTTCTGACAAGTCGTGCACCGGTTGGGATATTTATGGCTGTTTGTCAAGGGTCTCGGCCATGACCATGAGGATTGTACATATTAGAAGGCGTTTATACTTTACTTAGTATTGGGACTCGTATAGTCTTGCCATGCGTGGTGTCGCGTGGTTAACATGATGATTATGATTGAGTTAGCGATATATAGTAGGGCCAGCGTGTTATTATTTGATTAGCTAGAGAAACATCTACCATAGAATCCATCTGATCGATTGATTGACCACTGTTCATGTATGCGTATATTGGAGATGGCACGTGCGGGCGGTGAGAGGCAGGAAGTGAATTTGCTTCGACGTCATTCCGATCTCGCCATTTTCTCTCTTTTCCCAGGGGTTGATTCTATCAAGTTACATACCTTTCTTTCCTAGGTAATTTTTCTTCATTGAAACAGTTTGACAATGTTCCCCACAGCGAGATGCCTCGCCGCCAAACCTTCGGGTTTCATCAAGCGCAGCGCAGACGAGCTCAGCCGGCTGTCGAAGATCGGTTCGTATCCAACCCAATCCCCAATATCATCCAAATAGCTACACAATAACTGCCCAGAGATCAATGCAAACTATATATCTATCAAACTAACACAATCGGTACAGCATGGAACTCCGAAGCCCTCCACACCCCCACAAAGCCCTACGTCTTCCTCGACTTCGAGGATGAATCCACCGTCGCGGGCTGCAAGACCATGGCGGACCGCGTCGTCGGCGGCTTCAGCACTGCCAATTTGGACTACGAGCCTGCGGACCCGGCGTCGCACTCACCGGCCCATGCGCGCTTCCATGGGAGTATTTCGACGAGGCTGCCGAATAATTGGAGGGTTGAGCGCACGGGTATGTTCAAGCCCTTTCTTACATCTTCGCGATGGAAAGCAAGAAAGACATGCTGACGTGTAGGTGGAATCAGGCTACGCAGCCTTCCGCAACAGAGACCGCGGCATGTGGCTCTTCGGCCGTCTATACTGGGACATCGACCCCTACACGTATCTCGCGCTGCGCATCAAATCCGACGGCCGTCGCTACACGGTCAACATCCAGACGGACTCGATCGTCGAGACAGATATCCACCAGCACCGTCTCTACACGCGCCACCACCGCGTCCAGGACGCTGAATTCTCCTCCTCCTCTTCCTCCCCCTCATCATCATCCACACTCGACGACCCTTCCCTCGCCGAGTCGCTCTACCCACAAGGCATCCCCGCCGCCCTATCCGACGTGCCGCCGGAGGAAACCGTCTTCGCCTCCTCCCCTACTAGTACGACTGCCTCCGACTCGGGATGGGAAACCGTCCTCCTCCCATTCAACTCCTTCGTCCGCACAAACCATGGCTACGTCACCGAGCCGCAGACGTCTCTGCTCCGTCAGCGCGTGAAGAGTATCGGTATCGGTCTGACGGACCGTATCGACGGGCCTTACGACCTGCGCATTCATCGGATCTGGGCCACGAACGGGATGAGCGAGTCTGAAATCGAAGAGGAGAGACGCATCTGTGGTGAAAATGCCTTGCATGTCGATGAGGGCGTACGGACGGGCTGGACGGGCGATACCGTTGGTCAGGAAGTTGCTCCTTCTGCTGATGCTGGTGCTGGTGGTGCGCGCGCGGAGCCTAAGGCGAAGAAGGGTTTGAAGGGGTTGAAGGATGAGTGGGAGGAGTAATTCTTGCTCTTTCTTTCGTTTCTGGTCTTGTCGTCAAAAGAAGATTAGGATCTGTGTTCGTGTAGATTGGTCGGCTTCGATACCACTTTTGCATTCTCTGTATAAAATCTAAAAAACTACAGTTTCTGAAGAATATAATGCGTAACTAGTTAGTCTTTGATATCACATCTTATCTGTTAATAAAGTATACATCACATACACCATCCCCTCTTCACATCAATTTCCACTGAATGAGAAGAAAGTAGGAAGAGATTAAACCCCACCAGTAATCCTCTCCCAAGCCTCCTTATACTTCTCACTCGTCTTCAACGCGATCTCCTCACTCATCCGCACACCCTCCTTCCCCTTAAGTCCCTCCCTCACCAACCAATCGCGCAAAAACTGCTTATCGAAGCTCTGCTGCCCCCGTCCGACAGCGTACGAGTCCTTCGGCCAGAACCGCGACGAGTCGGGCGTGAGGACCTCATCGGCGAGCACGACCTCATTGGTGGCTTCGTCGAGGCCGAACTCGAACTTCGTATCGGCGATGATGACGCCGCGGGTGAGCGCGTATTCGTGCGCGGCTTTGTAGAGTTTGATCGCGAGGGCGGCGACTGTGGAGGCGTGGGTGGCGCCGAGGATTTGGATCGCTATACATTTGATTGTTGTGGTTAGTATGAGTCATACTTGGGGAATTTGCATTGTACTGCAATGGGGAAAGGAAAAGAACGGGAAAGGAATACCCTGATCAGGATGAATATTCTCATCATGCTCTCCCTGCTCCGCCTTCGTACTCGGCGTATAAATCGGCCCATCGGGGAAAGCCTGGCTCTCCTGCAACCCCGGCGCAACCGGAATCCCATGGACAGTTCCAGACTTCTTGTACTCGTTCCACGCGGAACCGGTGATGTACCCGCGAACGATAGCCTCAATGGGCAGGATCTTGAGCTTGCGCACCTGCATGCTGCGGTTCTGGAGAACGGGGCGTAGCGACGCGGGGATTTGCGGGGGAAGGTCGAGGGTTAGGAAGTGCGTGCGGAGCCCTGGGATGGCGTCGGTGAGGATCTTGAACCATGTTTTGGTGCACAGCGTGAGGAGGACGCCTTTGTTGGGGATGCCCTTCGTTTACCACCTTGTTAGTGTTTTAATTTTTGGAGGAGGGGAATTGGAAAGGGAGAAAGGAGGAGGTACATTCTCCATGATCACATCGTAGGCGGAGATGCGGTCCGTTGCGATGAAGAGGAGCGTCTTTTCGTCGACCTCATACAGATCGCGGACCTTGCCGCGGGCCACGAGGGGCAATGCGCCCTGCAGGTCGGTGGTTGTATAAGCCTGGTCTGCCATTGTGAAGTGCTGCGTTTGGTGGGGAGAAGAAAGACGGATGAAGTCATCTCGGAGTCAACTTTTTTTGATGGCGGGGGAGTAGTGCCTCAGGCAGGGATTCCCCTCCTGCGTCACGCCATGGCGGCCTTAGGAATCCACTCCCACTCCGAGCCCTAAGTAGCAGTAAACACCATTTGGATAGAATACTATACGATGGACAGTGGAAATAAATATAATTCATGGCATTGCGTATTCTCTGGGTTGAACAGAGTGTATATACCACACAACAGAAACCCACTCTGCGCGCTTCTGCATCGAGCGGCGTGCTTTTGTTTCTTCTTGATTTGCATACTCTAGAGATGCTGTTTCTAGACCCTCTTTGCTTGCTTTCTTCGTTTTTCTTGATGACTTGAACGGTTCGCTGACAACATATGCTTGCCGTTAGTTCCCTGTCTTCCGCGCGCCTGACTTGTCACTCCACGCCGCCTGCGACGTGGGGGGTGCCGAGGAGGCGCTGGCTCTATGATCTGAAGCTGCAAGAAATCGCAGAAATAATCCCAGGAGGCTTGCTCCGTGAGATTCTCTTCATGAGTACACCAAATGAGCAATAGTTGATCTGATAAAAATGGGACTGCTTCGATCACTTTCCGCTCATCTGTGGTATAATAATAAGCATTCTATACAAAATAGATTTCCATGCGCAAACGAAAGTCTCGAAGCTCGGCAGTGTTGTTCCCATGATATGGACGGATGCTTTGAGGTGGGTCTGGCAGGTCTATCTTTTGTTTGAATGCTCTTTCTGTTTTCAATGCCGTTTCTAGTTCGCGCCCGCGTTGATGTAGTGTGTTGAGTTCAAGCTCGAAGTTGAATTTCGCGTGCTCTTGGTTGAGTCTCATTGTCTCGGCATTTAATTTTTCTAATTCCAATAATAATTCCAATTTTTGCACGCGTCGACGTAGCGTGGTGACTTCGGAATTGTCTCCATGGTTCGTGCTGTTGGATTGTGCTGAGGACCTAGAGAGTTCGCCTCTTGATTCCAGGTTTGTTGCCGGAGGTGCGTTCGGTGATTCAAGTACCATAGTATGACAATGGGATCAAAAGCCCTGGTTTCTTTCGCTTCGTAGGACTCGACCGGAGATAGACTGGCTTCTTCGCGGTACCGCAGGGTAACTCATAAGGACTGTGATGCGGGATCCTGGGATCCAACACTGAAAGGGGTTGGGTAACGAACTGGAGTTGGTGATGGTGGATACTATGGAGAGTGGAGAACGGAGAATAGTAGGAGGAGGGGATTTATTTTTGGAACTCCGCATAGGTTTCCCTTTGTCTGCCTGAGGCGGCCACCTAGCACATTGTACCCCAATTACCACTGAGGCTTATTACTGGATACCAAATTTAATAAATCTCTAGCATGGCGACAAGCTCAGAAGTTCAGTATGCTCGTATCATCTGTAATCTACAGTGCGGTGAACTCAGGTTGATCGTGATGACTGGTCTGTACTTTGGGGACAGGTTTATATAAAACATGCAAAACTTCTATAAAGAAAACAGAGATGTAAGCTGTATTGAATCTCTGAATTAGGCCGTAGTCCGCATAGCTTCGCGACTCTGGATATATTCCTGTCTCTCCCGTGCCCAAACATCATCAACCACAGACAACGGACACGGTTTGTCCTCTCCCGAGACGTAGACATCCGGATCGATCGTCCGCACCTTGGCCCCCGGAGGCAGACCCAGGCCCTTCGCCTTGGGGGCGCCCTCCGTCTCCAGCCGCTCGAGCTCCTTGATCCCATTCGCATCTGACGCACTGCGCAACAACGCCCAGAACTCGTCGTCCGGACACCACAAGTCATTATCACTGATCTTCCCCTGTTCAACTAGATCGCGGATGATCTGGCCCGTCCGCTTGTACATGTCGATGTGCGAGGGATTGCACCACACATTCCGGTCGCATTCCATGTACGCCCTGGCCAACCGCAGCGCGAGCGACACGTCAGGCAGCACCATCAGCCGAGCAGGGCTCTCCGCGTCCGGAAAGGCAGCGAAGGCGCGAAAGACACCCTGCGCCTCCGACAGCGACATCTTCTCATAGGCGACGGCGTCGCGTAGCGCGTAATCCAGCCTATCGGCACAGAGATGCGGCGCGGGCCTTTCGACAAGCGGGTAGAGATGCTCCTCGAGCGGTTTGAGGTCCGCGAAGCCGTGCCGCGCCAGGATCTCCGGTAGGGGTGTCATGGCGATGTACCGCGCTTTGTGCTCCTCGTGGTAGCTGTCCTCGCCTGGTTTGGACAGCGCCCAGTCCATGACATGGCTGAGGGCTGTGTGGCTGACGTCGTGGAGAAGCGCGGCGACCTGTTCCGCGACGCTGGCTCCGACTTTGCGGACGAGGAGGAAGGCTCCGACGGAGTGCTCGAAGCGCGAGACTCGCGGCCCGAGGTTGAATAGGGCGGTGATGCCACTTTGCCAGACTCCTGTTAGGCGTTGGAGAGTTGGGGAGCGGAGGAGCTCGACGAGGATGGGCTCTGTGATGTGGTGGTCGCCGTAGATTTGGTCGTGGATGAGGACGGAGGATTCGGAGGGGAATTGCAGGGATTGGAAGTACCCCGCTTGTCGGGATGCCATGCTGCAGTTGTGAGGGAGACACGAGCGAGGAACTTCGTCTGTCTTGCACATCTTGTTCTGGTCCATGTTTGAAAATGATTTAACTCGGGTTGGAGATGGGGATAATGTTGACCGCGTTATGTTACATCGACGAAAGAGGAAGACAACAAACAGGCAGCAGTGTCGGATGCGACCCAAGACATGCCCTAGTGATGTCATAATTAAGCAGATCAATTTTATTATTTGACATATCATTTTATATTAGATTCAGTCGAGACGGATCATTCCATTCATTATTCTGTAAATTAGGTATAATATCCTCTCCTCAGCAGTGGTTGGTAGTCTTGCACCATCCCACACACACGGCCACGATGATCGCAATGATAAGAACTAGAGCCGTTAGACCAATCCAGCTACTCAACCAAGACACAAGGAGATGTGGGGAGAGACTTACTGACGATAAAAAGCGCCCACCATTTCCATTTACGCGCGTTTCGCGCGCTGGTGATCCCCTTGTCCAGGTGATCGTTGGCCTTGAGCGTATCGTCCGCGACCTCCTTCGTCTTCTCTTCAATGTTCTCCGCCATGGGCTCCTGTATATGGACCAGCTGCGCCACCTCCTGGGAGAGAGTGTTCAGCTCGATAAAGTCACGCTCGATCTTGCGCAGGGCGGCGGATCGCTCTGCGATGCGGTCCTGGGCGTCTCGCGCGGCGGTGCTGCGCATGCCTTGGATCTACTCTGGTCAGTACCTAACTCAAATCCGACGAGCTTAACACAGAGCCAGGAGAGTAAGTAAATACCTTGAAAGTCTGCTCCGTCCCCCCAAGCACATTCTGTACCCCAGCTTCCACATCATCGTCGGTCGCTGCCGGATGCGCAACATGGTACTGTCTGCGTACCTGCTCACGCAGTCGCACGTTGAAGTCGCTCTGGGCGCGGTAATACATCGCGATCTCCGTCTGCACATTACCGCTGGCTACATCGAGTTGCGTGCGAGCGCGCGCATCCGGCGCGGCTGACACTTGGTCGCGGAGCTCGGTGAGCAGGCTGCGGCATCGCTGGAGGGAGGTGGTGATCTCGGATTCGGTGCGGTCGAGGTTGCTTCGGGCTTGCTGGTCCTCTGCAATGCCGGTGGAGTCGAGAAGGGCTTGTTGGGCCGTGGGGAGGTGGATCTCGCGTCTTGTGCGCAGGCTGCCGAGTTCTTCGGTGATTTGTTGGCGTTTGAGGAGGATGAGGGTCATTGGGTTGGTGGGTTCAGGTTGGAGTTCTAGATTATGAGAAAGTGTCTAGAGGCGTGAATACAGTAGGAAAATACCATATGAGTTAGGACCTTGCTCGGGGTCGCGGGGGTAGCTGTAGTTGGCCATCGTGGATGGTGGTTAATTTGATGGTGAATGGGTCTGTCGAGGGACCAGAGTCGTGAGAACATGGAAATTATTTGACCAGGACACTTGAACAATTGACGAGCAGATGAGTTTTTCATATCTAATTCTATTTCATCAGCACTGGTAATGGGCTTGGTCGTAAATACAGAGGCCTAAAATCAGGCTGTGTCGGCCGCTCAGCCTCGTGAGATCGGCATGGGGCGAACCGTGATGATTGGCCGCATTGGCAACTTTCGACAGAAATTACCCAATGATCATCGCACCTAAAGATAGAACTGGGCCTTGAATCCTCACTGCGTTTCTTGATAGAAAATGGAAAGCCTGAGTCTAGGATTTAGCATCGACGTATGGCGCATCCGCTTGCCGCAGCACTGCTTATGGCTGGTTGGGGTCCGTGGAGTGGAACGGTACTGCCTTCTGCAGATGTCCTGACGTATTTTTTGGTGTTTTTAATACATAGATAGTATGATTCAACGTGTCCTATACAAGACACTGTCGTTCAGTCATCTCAGTTGTCGCTGTTGTGAGCTTCAAATCAACATTTAGTCTGCGAATGGTTGGAGTGATTTGTCTTGAGATCCCTGACTATACAGGTTCTAGTCTCATGTCCCATACTCTAATAGATAGTAGCATACCTCTTACTAGAGCAGTCAACCGAGTAAAAGCACCACTGAAACTCTGTGAGCCTAACGTGCTATAACGAAACCCGGGGCAGTGTACTGGACAAATGTGGGGCGAAACCAGGCACAGTATCTAGTGTTATATCAGATGTATATCAAATAAACATAGAATAAGAAGCTTAACAGTGGTACCCATAGGCCCATATCCTGCACGTCAAGTGCAGTTCTCCATTCCATGCACTGCCAGGGTGGACCTGCACCATAGCAGCAAGGGCTCTGAGCAGTATCATGCAGTTCGGATCTTTATCCCCACTTCCCGTTCACTCTGAGCCACTATCATTCAGTGTTATCTTGTGTCACCGCATCCCAGAGTACGCTGTGGTTCAGGTGTCAATGCCGTTCATGGTAGACTCGGCCTGTTAGTAATTGTCCTGGACTCTGCATTGACTGTATCTCTCGTGCAGTCAGTTCGATGGCGCCAAAGCTCATCAGTCGGTATACTATTTCGCAGGTTGAGTATAGACCTTCTCGAACCATTATGTAGGTTATCTGCCATCGATCAAGTACAGACAGTGAACCACACAAGAACAGATAGATACACTTATCTTATCGTTCATCTTATCTTAACTATCAAGATAACAGATTAGATTGGCCTTATCCGTGCGGGGTAAATCGATCCCAAACACAGGCTTATCTCCCCTCGTGGTCTTCATCTTCATCTTCATCTTCATTTCACTTTCAAACTTCAATCCTCAATTAAACACCTGTATACAAAAAATTGAAAGGATATTGAAAATGACCTCCCTCCCCCACACCTCCAACTGGATCAACGGGGCCTACACCCCCCCAACCCCCCACCGCATCCAAGTCACCAACCCGGCCAACGAATCCCCCATAGCAACCATTGACTCCACACCCCGCGAAACAGTCGACCAAATCATCCAAGACTCTCTCCAAACATTCCACACAGGAACATGGTCTAAAGCAGATGTCTCGGACCGCTTCGCCGTCCTCTCCACCGCCGCGCGCCTGCTGCGCGCCCGCATCCCTGAATTCGTGGAGCTCGAAACTCGCCAGATTGGCCGTCCTATCCGTGAGATGCGCGCTCAGCTGGCGCGCGTGCCTGAGTGGTTGGAGTATTTTGCCTCCCTGGCCCGTGTTCACCAGGGTCAGGTTACGCCGTTTAAGGGGCCTGTTGTGAATACTTTGACGAGGCTGTGTGTTCTCTCCTGATAATCGTCAATCAATGATTTTGAATGCTGACTCTTAAACGCGGAAAGCCCCCTCGGAGTCGTCTGTCAGATCGTTCCATACAACCATCCAATGTTGATCGCCATGAAAAAGATCGGCGCCGCCCTAGCGGCAGGGAATGTAGTCATCGTCAAGACATCCGAGCTGGGCCCCCTGTCAGTGCTGCAGCTGGGCCCGCTCTTCAAGGAAGCCGGTCTACCCGATGGTGTACTCCAAATCGTCAGCGGGTACGGGGCCGAGACGGGCCGATTCCTATGCGAGAGCCCCCATCTAGCCCGCATCGACGTGACGGGGGGCATTAACACGTACAAGGCGATTGCGGCGTCCGCGTCCGCCAACCTGATCCCCATCACGGCCGAGCTGGGCGGCAAAGCCCCCGTCTGTTTTTTCCCGAGTGTGGACGTCAACCAGGCGGTGCGGGCGGCCCTGTTCGCAAGCTTCATCGCCAGCGGGCAGACGTGCGTGACGGGGAGTCGGCTGCTGGTTCATGCGGACCTGTACGATGCGTTCAAGGAGCTGCTGGCGAAGCGGGTGCAGGCACTGCGGGTGGGTGATCCCGCCGACGATAAGACGCAGATCGGCTCCGTTATCTCAAAGGCAGCCGTGGAGCGGTGCGCGGCGTTCGTGGAGCAGGCTGTTCAAGAGGGCGGGCGGGTTCTCTGTGGGGGGAAACCGACTACGAATAGCGACGGGAAGGGGTTCTTCTTTGAACCGACTGTGATTGAGACGCACGCTGAGTCGAACCTCGCTTGTGCGGAGGTTTTTGGCCCCGTGATTGCGCTGCTGAAGTGCGAGTCGGAGGATGAGATTGTGCGTGTTGCTAACGGGACGGAGTTTGCGTTGGGTGCGTCGGTGTGGTCGAATGATTTTACCCAGGCGCATCGCGTTGCGAGTCAGATTGAGGCGGGGATTGTGTGGATCAATGGGCATCATTTGAATGATCCGTCGTCGCCGTGGGGTGGGTTTAAGCAGAGTGGGATTGGGAAGGAGAATGGGCTGGAGGCGTACGAGAGCTATACTAGGGTCAAGAGCACGGTGATGAACTACGGGGTGCCTCCTGTTTGGTTTGATGATGAGCCGGCCGATGCGCGATATGGTTAGATTGGACTATCTACGATAGACATCGAATGAAGTACAGGCTCTCCCGCTCCTCCCGTGTTGTCTCCATGTCAACACTGAACCTGTATCACAAAGAAAAGTCAAGACTACCGGTCAAGTAGCGAAATTAGCCATGTTCGTCAGTCGTCGAATAGACGGGTCGATCAGCTCAGCGAAGAAGTCACTGCACAACGCAGTTTCTAAGCGCCTCAGCCTTAGGAATCTGGTCGCGACGACGCTGCACCTCCTTGACAAGCGGCTGTCCGTCCCAGGGACACCAGACACGATCGTGGGGCCAGATACGATGATAAAGCTGACGAACGTGCATCCACTGCGCGCCGTCCCAACGGCCGTCCGATCTATCGTCATCAGCATCATTCTCCTTCATTCCTACCCATCTCGAACAAAAAGATAGAAAGATAAACAAACCTGAGCTCAACGACTCCTGGCGCCAGCAGATAAGCTCTCAGCAAAACACAGCCCACAACCAGATCATAAGGCTTGCCGCCGGTGCAGACGGAGAAGCTCATGGCGTCGCGGCGGATGCACAGCGGGTCCTGAGCGTCCGCGCCGATGCCATTGATGTAGATACCCTCTTTGGCAGTGGCGATGGGGCCGGTGAATCCTTCGTTCTTGGGTCCGCAGACGGGGATGTTCGCGGCCTTG